GTAAACATGTCTTGGAGCTTATTTTTATTTTAAGCTTATTTTAATTTCCTAACTTTTCATAAGTTGTTACTTGTTTGTTTAACTTTTCATAAGTTAATACTAAATAGATTTCTACGGATACTGAATAACAAAGAACATATTGGTATTGTTAAGTTTGTCGATAATGTCGTCGCATGGGACAAATTCAACGTGCTCGATTAGGTACTCATTTTGTTTCAGGTTACTGAAAAGGTGATTGGTTGCCATGAGCAATTTGTGCAGTATAAAAATATATATTACTACGGTTGTTTAACTGCATTCAACGGTCAGTATAGAGGATTCCGAGAAATCCGTATCGGGAGGCACGTACGCGTAAGATTGGCTAAATCTTAAGCGTTAAATGTAATAACATAATAACAATCATGTACACACATCTGCTATTAAAGTTTTGTAACTTGTTCCGAATGCTATAAAGATTTAATGGAGTTTTAAGCTATTGTGCTAGTTGTTAGCGCAGACAATAAATTAAAAGACGAATCTTAAAAAAAGAAATAAATAAAAACCTTATTTAACTTTAGTTCCTTGATTTAATAGATCCAAAGCAAAATTAAAAAAAAAACATATTAATTGAGCAAATAAAAGGGTTTACTGCCAAATAGTAATTGAACAAATAATCGTGCGTTAATAAATCACCAATTGATTACATATTCGATTCGCCTTACAGTATTACATAATGGAAAAGAGATTTAAGCTAACAATTTTTTCCAACTTTAATTAAAACCGACCTAAGATTGTATGCAGTCTTTAGGTTCAAAATTATTAAGACAATTAAGTTAAAGACTCAGGCAAGGTCCCCAAGTAAAAAAATGACGCGCCTTTAGACATACTATGAGACACTATACAACCCTGAATAAAACTTGCTTTTAGTTGTTATTCTGAGATACAACCGTTCACGTGAACGCGAACAAATGTCAACTGCTGCGTGGAAAGAACTTGGAAAACAAAGGAATATTAGGTTGCTATTTAAACAATTAAAAGCTAAATAAGATGTCGGTTATTCAAACTTTCCGACCTTCCGACATTGGAGCAGATTTTGGCATGATGCTCTAAACCTAAAAAAGTATTATTTAAACTAAATTTGACAGCCATCGTTATCATGCTTTTTACAGATTGAACCGAGAAGCTTGATGGATGGCACGCTCGGTCTGATATTGTGGAACAATTTTTTTAATGGTACAGGATCAAATATTTGTTATCCGCTGCTAAAAAAAAATATAGGTTTCTGAAGGCACGGAAGATTTTTTCAATGGCATAGGTCAAAATATTCATTATTTCCTACAAAAAAAATATGGGCTTTTGAAGGCACTTTAAGCCGTTGGTCATCTAAGACACCAGTGTAAGTCTTAATTTTAAAACACCAACAACCTCTTAGGGATTGATTCTACCCATCAACAGGAACAACTTTTACTATGGGACCAACGCTGACTTCGCGACAAAAAAATTCAGCTGTTTCATACATTTCGTCGATTAACTGATGCACTTTTGTATGAAACAGCAGATTTTTATATTGCGAAAGCGTTGGTCCCATAATAAAAGTTGTTCCTGTTAATGGGTAGAATCACCCCCTAAGAGGTTGTTGGTGTTTTAAAATTAACCCTGTATATTAATTCTTACAATGATAGAATGTGAAGGTTAGAATACTGTGAAATGGAGTTTTAGGATTATAGAAACATCAGTGATTCAGTGGCCCAAATGCTTTTTGAAATTACACTTCCGAACAATCATGGCAGTTTCATTCATATTATCATTTCATTTTAAAATTTAAGATTTTTACCATTTTATTATTGCCATCATCCAAGTATGTTGGAACAATTAGCAGCGATTGATTCTGTTAAAAACAATTAACATAAGGAAAACTGGAACAATTGGCAGTCTTTCCCTTTATTTACTTTCGTTGAAGCCCAGTTTACGTCCAATTTTTTTATATTGGTAAACCTAATATTTAAGAAATAAATTTAATGTGTTAGTGATAATTTTTAAATGATGGTCTTTGATTGTACCCTCTTTTGGATCTACAATGTTTTTGGCTATTTTCGGAACGTAGGCTTTAACCTTTGCAGAAGTTGACCTCCATTTGCCAAAATGGCTATCAAATAGTCCGACGGATCTTTGGATCTTAAGTTAGAATCACGCTCGTCATCCTCAGCATCGCTATCTTCAACTAATTCTAATGTTGCACCATCTTGAGAAAACACTTTGGCAAAGTTGAAGGTATGGCTTCACGCATATGCAAGACATGCAGCATTTATATTCTCTGAATTTCTCTGTCATATGTCCATACTAGATACATATCTACTATATCTGCTGCATCAGGTCCGAAGTCTGGGAATTCCAAGTATCATTCCTGCCATCATCATCCTCTTTTATGACCTAGTCTGTTCCTGAAAATTATTTTGTCTTGATGGTTTCTTTAACGTCTATTAAATTTATTAGTGTTACTTGGTCATCTTTGATTCCAATCGTGAATTTAATTGTTTTCCCATAGAAATATAAAAACCTTTTTTGCCAGATCAACATAAAGGTTATTATGTAATTTTTAATTACGTCATTATTTTAGTAACGATATTATTTCAATAGCGATGTTTCCCATTTGCTATTTTTAATGAATTCAGATTTATAACAACGTCAGTAGTTTTAAGAAAAAAAAGATTAACGTTTATCAAACATTCAAAAAGCAGATGGTTGAATGAATGTAAGAAAGCAGAAACACGATATTTATTGTATTCACTCACTAAAATCGGTTATATGTAGTAAAAGACCGGACAGACGGACGGACGGACATGGCGAAGCTATAAGACTAGTTTCACAGCTAAGCTGATAGATAATAATTTAACTTCATGTTTTAAAATTTATTTTATATAAATTAGCTGATTTATTTCTTGTTCTTTATCGTAAGCTCTGACATTCGATAACTTGTCTATTTTGTTAATTCCTGCATCACTTATAGACGTAACAGTTTTATTAAAACCGGTCGGCACTGGTGGAATTATACCGCAAAATACCTTCATTTTATTCTTAGACATTTTTCTATAATGTTGTCTTCAACAGATGAAGACGGCGTATGTTCTTGTATCACAAAAACAGTTGCATCCGAAAAGAATGTTAACCTTAAGATATCGTACAAAATATTGGTCAAGCCTGAAGTGTCAGTATTCCCTTTCATTGTTCTTTACGTTGGTTAATTCATCTCCATATAGACGATCCATTTTTATTATGTTGTTTCTTTGTGTCTTGAAAACTTAAAAATATAAGAACTGTACCACCTTTTCTGCGTATCAAATTTTAATCGATTGATGAAGAAGTAGATGGGAGTTGATTACTCAAGAGTTGGGGAGTCAAGTAAGTTTTAGAGAAAATAACAGTCACTGCAAACTATGTATAACAATTGTATCCTTCATGCGACGGTTACGTTGAAACCCATAAAAGCAAATAAGTGATTAGTCAATATAATAAAATATATTCTCATTTCATAAACAAAAGAGTATAGTTTATTATATACTAACGGCTGCACGCGACTTCGTCCGCGTTAACTTTAATTTTTTGAGAATCCCTCAGGAACATATATTTTTTTTTGTATTTTGTTATTTAAATAGTAAGCAGATTGATTAAAACGCAGATTGGGCCAAAATAAGCTACCCAAATCAGTAATTACACGCGGACGAAGTTGCGTTGTTCGGGTTGGGGTCTCTTACATTTACCGCGAATATCTGCCACAAATGCTTGCTGTAGAGGGATACAATAAGATATCGCACTTTAAAAATCACTACACAGATAACACTTTTCCACTTTTTACCCAAACATAAATATTAGAAGATTAAAAAAAATAACGACTATTTAACATTTATATTTTAATTCGAACTCGGCGAATTATATTGGTTTTGAGACTAATCACTTATGATGTCGAAATTAATCAGCGCCATCTATCATCTGTATTAATAGTTACATTTTGTATAAAATAACATTACCGAACTTCTGCGTGGCTTTAAATTGTAATAACTTTTGATAGAGTATACCGATTTTAGTTAAATAAAGACTAAATGATACCTTGAGATACAATCTATGTACATATTTTCAGTTCACTGCATTTTATGCAGCAGTTTTTGTTTAATAAGATTTTAAAAATACAGGAGAAACAAGTGTTAGACACAAGTCCTAAAAAATAAAAGATGATGATAATACATTTCAATCTTTTTCAGGGCTAATACTCATTCCAAGCTCCCCAAACTATTTTTTTTGCAAATATACACGATGTACAGAGTATTGCATCATACGATTTTACCGCCTTTGCGCCATAGTTAGTTTATTGGGAATCCCTCAGGTACCTAACATTTTTCCGGGATAAAAAGTATCCTTTGTCGCATTCCAGGTTAAAAACTATATGCGTGCCAAATTTCATCCTAACCCGTGCAGTAGTTTTTGCGTGATAGAGTAACAATCATACAAACACACAAACATACAAACTTTCACATTTATTATATTAGGAGGATTGTTAAAAGTATAAGCATTTAGATTTGTGATCCGACGGAAATAGATAACAATGATAAAACGTAATTCTTTTGCATTTTCAAAATGTAGTAATGTGTTGTGGGATTAATTGCCAGAAATTATTAAACTGAGTTTTAAAAGTGGATCTATTAGACTAAAAACCGACCAAAGCCAAGTACGAGTCCTACTCTTAAGCGAAAACTTCCTCGCCATCGTACAAAGTTTGACAGGTGAAATTATAGATTTTGTGTTTTGTTTAGGGAGTCCGCCGTACGAAATCCAAGTACGAGTCCTACTCATATGCGAAAGCTTCCTCGCCATCTTACAAAGTTTAACAAGTGAATTTATAGATTTTGTGTTTTGTTTAGGGAGTCCGCCGTACGAAACCCAAGTACGAGTCCTACTCATATGCGAAAGCTTCCTCGCCATCTTACAAAGTTAAACAAGTGAATTTATAGATTTTATGTTTTGTTTAGGGAGTCCGCCGTACGAGAGCAGGATATGCATGCAAGAGACCAATAGCCCCGATGCACCGAACAGTCAAAGTGTCAAAGGAGAGGAAGAACTATCACGAGTGTATCAAACACTTACGTTGCCGCAACTGTCCAGAGATGACAACAATAGTTCAAATAACAGGTCGGTCCACTCATCTATAACATCTATAACCTAATGATATATTTTGGATTCATCATCAAAACATTTAAGTTCTTTATTTTTCACTAATCAATAAGCTCCATTATTTGTTGTGTAACACTTTGATCAATTGAAATACCGATTGATGTAGGTAATTTTTTAGCAAACATCAACAAGTATACATCATGTGATTAATTACATTTATGTGAACACGTTGTATGAAGTCGCTTCAGCCGATGACGAAAATACTTTTGCAAAATAAGCATGTAGATTAATTGGCATACGACAGCATAGCATTTAGTTATTTATTCAAATATTTTACACTATCAAATTATTTTTTCTTGTATCTAATTAGCTTGATATTCAGTGTTGATTACAGTAATGAAACTAAAAGTAAACCAAAGACCACGGCTCCACCGAGTCCGCGCAACGCAGAGATGAAACCTCAGTCGACAACGCCCACCACCTCGCAAGCGTTGACCAAACCCCCTTACTCCTACGTGGCTCTGATCGCGATGGCGATACAAAACAGCCAGACCAAACGAGCCACACTCAGTGAAATATACGCTTACATCACGAAAGAGTTTCCATACTTCGAGAAGAATAAGAAAGGCTGGCAGAATTCCATAAGGCACAATCTCAGCCTAAACGAATGTTTCATAAAAGTTCCAAGAGAAGGCGGTGGTGAAAGAAAGGGAAACTACTGGACTCTCGGTAAGTTCGCTCACAATCTGTGTCCGGTGAGTAGCGAAATTCAAAATACCCCATTGTGAATCGTGTCCCATTTTTTCTCACAAAATATTTTTTTATTGGTACACATTACGTTTGTGCTGTTGTAATTTAATACTTCTGTATTCCGATCGGAACGATGCGAATGTATGGGTCACTATGCTGGCGTGTCCACGAAGCGTGCTCGTTACTCTATGTGGCTGGAAGCGAATTGCTCTGCGCGATGCGATGACATCATTGAATTCTTGGTAAAGATTCAAAGGAATGTTGTATTGTTGTAGATCCGCAGTGCGGGGATATGTTCGAAAATGGAAACTATAGGAGGCGACGACGTATGAAGCGGCCGTTTAGAGCTACACCCTATTCGAAAACTTTGTTCGGGGATGGGTACCATGTGGCGCATGTGGCACAGCACGTTCCTTCGCACGTGCAGCCCCTGCCACTAGGAGCCAGAAATTACTTCGGTTCAGGATCACCGTACCCACCATCCTACCCAAGATATGACACGTAAGTATGCCTTTAAACAAGTAACTCCTAGACATGAGCTATACATGAAAAGGACATCATCCATTTTGGTCAAAAATCAAATGTACCGGCCAAAAAAAAGGGACTGTATTCTGATAGAACACGTCGGCCTTAGCATTTGTTTATATGGCACCAAAGCTGTAGCACCACTATTAGAGGTGCTATAAGCTTTGGTGCCATATTACGAAATGCTGATGAAATGTCACATTTCTTTAACATAAATATACCTATTTAACTGACATTTCATGTATTTTTCAATCAAATGAATTCACTAAAGTAATGAGGTACCATATTATTTTCCATTAAATGTATAATAAACCGTAAATAAAATGTTCTGTCATGGTAGCATCCATTTATGATTAGGGTGTCGTAATAAAATAAGTATAGTTTTTTTAAATGTATGAAACGTGGATGATGTCCTTCATAACTTATATTACTCGTAGTTATACATATGTACAATTCTCCGTATCAAAGTAAGTACAACTATTATTATATTATTATTATTATTATACAACTAGTACTCACTACAACTACTACACTTAGGGAATAGGTTTCGATAAAAGGTCTATGCAAGGTCCCTCCTCGCGTGTTTGTGTTCAGCTTAAAATAATAATTTTCAGATTGATTGTGCATCTTAAAATTGACAAGTTATCTCACAGAGCACCCAGTGAGTTATCTATATAAAAATTAATGTCTCTAAAGTATTTTACTAAACTTTTAAATACATGTGCGGCCCGTTTTATAATATTTTTCCTATTAACGAAATTGTGTAGACTCCAATAATTGTAATCTACAACCAACAACAGATGGTATGTATTGTCAACTAACTATACTCGTAAGTCCCGGGTTTTCAGAAAATAGTGAAATTGTGTTTGGCGTCAACAGTCAAAACTAATACCTAATAAACAATATGCTGTTAATTAAAATACATGGTACTTAATTCGGCGCATGTATTGTAGCTGAATGTAAGCACAGTTAATTGTTACGAATGCGTAAGTAGGTACACAAAATATTTAACAACTGATTGAACACTAAAAGTATATCAGCGTAGCGTAATAATCTCACCATGTTATTTAAATCGCACGTTGAATTAATAGCTAGTGAGACATTATTACAAATTAATTTTAATTATTATAAATATTTACGTTACCGACTGTCGTGTTTACAAAACAAATGCTTATGATACATAATCGATGGATATTATATTTGCAAAGATTTTTATTTCCCGTTTCCGTAACGGACACTGCTTTGAGTTTATTTATTGAGTGTAATTACGTACCTACTAAACGTAGGTAGGTATTTATAATGTTAAAATAAAAACTTCGAAGCCGTGACCTTGTTGATATTGAGACGTCAGCGTTGCTGGGTCGTTAACAGCTGATATCATAGTAATAACTAATAAAGACAACGTTGATAAATTATTTTCTCGTTTTTTTATAGAGTTAAATTTATTATCAGTACAGTGTGTTAAAACAGGCATTGATTTCAAAGTCGGGCATCCAGTAGGTATATTTTAATCGACGCAATTTAATATGTAGGTAAAAAGATTTGTAACCGTGCGAATATCTAAAGACATAAACTTGGTTACGATGTTCGAAAAGGTGTTCAATGCAAGTACGAGTATCTTATGTTGGTTTCTTTTCCTAGGGAAAATCTTATCTGTACTGGCTTGGACCTCAACGGGCACTGTTTGCAGGGTACCGTCCCCTTATTGGCTGTGAGCAGGTAGAATGGGCGTGGTTTGTCGACTTATCTCTGGCTCTGCCTATCCTCGCCGGCTTATGCGGTTAGTCACGATTCCAACACGATCATCCGGAGAGCGTTTAATACGAGTTTCGCTGTAACCGAACGCTTGTTTTAACGGATACCCATTCTATCTTTACATAGTATAATACAAAGTCGCTCCCGCTATCTGTACATTTATATGCTTACGATATGTACTAGAAGTAATAAATATTAAGATTAGCAATCACTACAGAATAACTGAGTACATATATATACCATAATTCCCAAACTACAAATGTTTACATTCTATCCTTGGCTTTTTTTTTTAAATCACGATCCGCATTCATAATTCAAAATATTCTACATAGTCCAGAAACAGAAAGAATTTATTAGTATTACATATACTTTTACTTAGGTGTAATCATATTTTTAAGATTCATTGATGTCAATGTGGTCTTCTTATATACTTCTACGGATTCCTTGAAAGATAGTTCTTCTCTTATCTTATTCTTATATGTTAAATTCTCGTATCACAATGTTAGTTACCATACTCCTCCGAAACGGCCTAACCGATTTTTATGAAATTTTATATGCATGTTCCGTGGGTCTGAGAATCGGCTACTATCTATTTTTTGACTATATTTTTTTATATAATGTGATATTAAAAAAAACAACCCTAAATTTATCTTCTACCACCTGCCCCTATTTTTATGGCGGTACGAAGTTCGCTGAGTCAGCTAGTTTACTTATATTATTTATTCCTGTTTAAAAATACATATGAGAAAACAATATATTAAATTATTTATATTCACTAATAAACTGGTTTAAATGGAAAATTTCACTCGAATAACAGACAGCTTTGCAGACCTATATGTAACCTTAATATGTATTTTGAAATCGCTGATATTTAGGACTAAAATATATATGGCCCAAATGAGACTCTAGTTTCAATAGAGTGTACCTACAAACAAATTCAGCAATTAAAGGTTTTAAATCAACATCCATTTCAAAAGTTACTGCTTCTCTGCATGTTATTTAGATTTCATATCTTGATATATAATACGTAGACCTTCATGGCCGAATGGTTTATACGCCGGGTTTCATGGTGTCGCCGACTCGAGAGGTCCCGGGTTCGAATCCCGGTGGGGGCAGATATTAGTGTCATGAATACGAGCATTTGTACTCCAGTCATGAATGTTTAATATTTATTTCTATATAAAAATATACTTATGGACAATATATGTATTATATCCGTTGCCCTAGTTTCCCATAACACAAGCCTTACATTGCTTACTTTAGGGCTAGACTAATTGGTGTGAGTGTTGAAAATATTTATTTAGTTTTATTTATATTTAAAGATGTCATCCGGTGTTCTGAACAAAGTGTATCAGTGAATCATTAGACACGTGTACTTTGTTCGTTAGTAATGAGGGTAGCTGTTATTGGACACGACACTATGTATGATTAACACATCGTACTGTAATCGTTGCAAAAATAAATTCATTTATAGGTAACTAGTGGCCCGCCCTCGCTTTGCTTCGGTGTAGAGATAGATATAGGTATCCTCTATAAAACTTTAGTACTTAGATCACTTTGCTCTATTGTCAATCACTTCCGCAGCGAACGCGATATAAGGCTAGTTTTTACACACGTTAGGTTACATTATGAAGTTTTCGTACGGAACCCTTACTTTTTGAAATACACTATAGCCTATTTTAATCAGTGTCAATCAATCATCAATCAATAATGTAGCATTTAAATGGTGAAAGAATTTTTAAAATTGATCCAGTACTTTTGAGCTAATTTGTTACAAACATAGTTAAATACAAATCTTTCCTCTGTATAATATTAGTATAGAAGTATAAATGATTTTGGGCAAAATTTACACCATTTAAAGACTTTTAGGAATGTAATATATTACTAGTTTTAACTGGTACGAAGTTTAGCTCTACATCATCATCATCATACGGATTTCAAACCTTATTTAGGAAAACCTTTTTATTAGCAAAATCTTCGCTTATTGGAACAATGTTGATTATTGTTGACAATGTGTGTTATCCTTTTATAATTCGAGTCGAATATGAGTGAAAATGATAAATACACAAAAAATGACTTGTATATTCTTCTATTTAGCCATTCAAAATCTAATTTATTAGTTAGCACATTGAATTCACAAAACAAACACTAATTTACATTGTCATTTAGATCCTTGATCTCATTTCCTTCGTATTTTGTTATTATTAAATAATAAAAAAAAAACTGTTCATTTAATTAATTTGTTTTAATAATAATAAATAAATATAATGAATTCCGCCAAAGTCAACGTGAAGAAGAAATCACGATGGGAAATAACCCGGTGTGCGTTGCGAAAAAAGGAACGGTTTGGTTTTTCTTCATCAGTACAACACCAATATAAATAACTCATAAAAAGGACAAGATAGAAAAGGTTTATGTTATCTGAAGTGTCAGAAAATTATAGCTCTTAGAATGGATTCTTATTAAAAATCAGACCCAATAATATCTCAAATAAATCATCGACTATCTGTACGCACTACGAAATATAATACAATATGAAAAAGGAAATGCATAGTGGAATTTCTCTTCGACTTGTGTAATCTCCATACAACAGCACACCACAGTAAATAAACACTAATGTTTGGTGGTGTTGTGTTTCTGTCAGTAAGTAGTAGCAGGGCTCTATGGGGCAGAGGAATAATTTCAATCCAGGGGGCTAGAGTAGGGCCACTCCTTCCTATTGGCTCTAGCCATTAGAGCGGCTTTCAGTCCCATCAGCTATCGTCGCGTCTGGACTCCACTTACACTCAACATCGTGTGTGGTGGGTGGGGTTATTTGCTGCGCCTTTCACAAGAATATTAACATTTGAGATCACATAACGACTTGAAATCCATTGTTTCAGTATAGTGACATCACCCTAAGTTACTACGTAAACAATGTGATAGCATCTAACTATATCGAAGGACTGGTTTCAGATTGCAAAGCCTCAATCATCCAATATCATTCGATAAGGTTTTTAAGCTCAAAACATGTTAAAAAAATTATTGAAGCTTTCTGGTCTTCCACTTCATAGTTTTGCGTTCGAATCTTTAACATTTGATCATAACTAACTCTGAATTTTTGTCTACAGACTTTATAAAATAAAGAATGCTAAAAATAATTCGGTTTCGTGTATTTGATTTTTCCTATTAACTAGTGATTTAAAGTTTCTTGCCTTGGTGCTAAGTCATGTAAAATAATTTGGTCTAATGATTTAAATTCGTTCATTACCAGCCCAATTAGGCTTAAAAAATTCATCACTATTTATTTTGCAAACTATAAATTACAGTTTTCGCTTGGATAATAGGACCATTGAATTTTATTTGATAAGTCTAACCAGATAATAACATCTTGAATAGGCTTTGACGATCTCTTTGGTGGAGTTGTATGTGTGTAGCTACAGCGGTTTTCAAGGTTTCTCCGGTCCTCACAGAGATCCTCGGTTCCAATCCCGGTAGGGCAAAAGTTTGTAGGATGAGCATGTGTACCTAAGTTATGGATTTATTTAGTAAAATAGAGAAGTTATCTCGTTTACGTGGCCCGAATTCTACAAAATATTGTTGAAAATAAAAAAACCGACGGCGCTACTTTTCTTCGAAAACAAAAAGCTTCTATGAAATGCTATGGCTCTCTGCAAATTAAAATAGCCAATCCGTTCTGCAACTCTCCCGATTAAAAAAAAAACTTCGACTTCGACAATTTCTTCGTCATCATCAGAAAACAAAAAGTCGTCCATCATTCAGAAATAAATAAAATAAAATGTTATCGCTATAAAAACACACAAGATAACCTTTAACAATTTTGACATTTAAATCCTCGATTTAGCAATTTAACCCTCCAACTTCATCGGGTTTATATTTGATTATTTAACCGTAGGTTTAGTGTTAACTCTTGGCAGTTCAAGAAAAAATATTTATTTAACCCCAGTTCAATAGTTAATAGTTTATAACTAGGAGGTAATTAAATTAACCCTAGAACGTGCAAGTGGGCCTTAGATGAATGATTGGTCCCCCTTCGGTCGTCCGCAGGGAGACCAATCATTTATAAATGTTGCTACTCTTTTAGCCAATCAAGTCCATCGGTATATATTAATAATATATAATTATAAGATGCCAATGATGCCATGCCAATACACCTGGGTTACGTTACGTATTCGTTTACGTGTCTCATCATCAATTATAAGATTTTTTCAAAGTTTTTCATAAACTTTACGGCACCCTCGCGTGGCATTCGCCTTCTGATCTTTGACGTATTTGAGGGTAGCTATTTTTACAAAAAATTTAAGCCTATATATTACATTATTAACTTTTAATTTATCCGCCGCAACTGTCACCATTTTTAAAATGTGGCACGTTGAAAAATCTTTTTTACTTATTTCATATTTCTAGATGTAGATATTGCACGTACGTAGTCTTCGTCTTCTTGGTATCTTTTTAAAATCAGTGTCTTCCGTATCTTGATAACTTTTTATTGTTTTGTATAAATTATTTCTTCTTGCTTCCTCTTGAATAAAATGACGTACTGTCTCAGATTTTCCATGACACAAATAGTATTGAATAACAGTTATTAAGGTTCGGCTCGCTTCATTTTGAAAAAAAAAAACAAACTGATTATAAACCGCCTATTTTGACATATATGTTGATATCTATGATTACTATGACGACCATTTATTTACCTCTAAAAACTTTTTTCGTGGCCAGTTTGATTTTGAGAAAAGTCTTTACTTCTGGAACAATCTATATTCGATTTTACCGTCCGGCTGTGCCGAATAATGCCGGGCCGCTTAAGTGTGTAGCTACCCTTAAATAAACAATGTAAATAGTCATTTTAAACGTGTGAAATCAATCGGCTCTCAATACGAGCCCTATATTGTTGGCAAAGACCCACAGGTGCTGAAGTAATAACTCAATATTATTTCATTAAAACAAACAGTTTTAGTATTTGTTTATTTTTATTGAACATTCGTTATGCTAATTGATATAAAAACAACTGTTGTTTATTGATAACCCCAGACAGGGCTAAAGGCAATGGATCTGTTGTTAATTTTATTTGGGTATTTGTTGGTAAGCGTACTTGATCTATGAATGTGAAAGTAAAGCAACTTTTACCATGGCCGCTCAGCGGATGGGTGGCTAAAACTGATTTTATCTCGAGCTCCGTTTTTCAGAAAGCACGTTAAATTCTCCTTCTATCAGGTATTCGGTTGTTAGTCCGATCGACGGAACTGATGAGACTTTTCAGTCTCAGTAGTTCGGTTGTACGTGTCAGCCAAACTGTTGCCTCACCATGTATCAGTACCCATAGTACGAGTTTGAGCTCACGAAAACTATCATAGTTTTCATAAAATTGAAAATTATGTTTCTATGTCCATTTTGGTGAAAACTAACCAAATATACTTAAAATTTAAGAAGACGCAAATGACTTAATGATAGAATTTAAACACTGTTTATTTGTATTGAAACGAAAACTATAAAATCAGTCCCCTTAGTGCGAGTGCGAGTTAACGAAAACTATCATAGTTTTCGTAATTGCAAAACTCGTACTGTGGGTACAGTAGTTAGGTATTGCCAAAAAGATTTTGTTTGTGAGTCCTTTAGTAGCAGAAGTTCGCTTGTTAGTTTAATTGTTTTTAATAGAAATTCGGTTAATACCGGACTATTGCTTTTATAGGATTCGGTGTTGTTTTGCATCTCTTTGTACCTACGTTAAGAAGTTGACTAAAGTAGAAATTTTATATTTATTTAATTCAAAGAAAAGATAAAATTGTACACACATACGAACACCTGCACAGATTTGCGAAATGATTTCTTTCTCGTGTTCGTTATTGTTAGGAAAACGTTAGTATGACAGAAGTTTTTAGAACAATTTTCTAAAACTACCAGGAAACTGGAAATCTCCATGGTGTTTTTGTATTGAAATCTCAAGATTTCTCAATAGGTATTGCTCCCAAGCGAAGCCGTACAGGTCGCATTTTTTTTAAAGAAACAAAGATATTCCCATTTCCTACGTGCCAATTGCTTCTTTTGTATCAAATCATTCCACGTCAGACTATTATTTCGTTTCGGTAATGCGTTATTTCCAAAAATTTACACTACTTTTTTCCTGAAAGCTAGGAAGACTGTGATCATCATGTATATGTAACTGAAGTGATTGTGGGTAGATGTTATTGGCAGACATATCGGTCTACCCTCTGACGTCGTCTTTTACTGCGTTCGATACCCGTACCACTGGTCACATTCTCACTCACACTTGTTCCCGACACACAATACTCACAGTATCAGATCGCGGGGCGACACTTTTTTTTATCTTGGTGTCGTGGCATTTTGTCGAGATAATTTGTGGATTATGGAGCTCAACCTAGTGATAAGGGCCCGAATCAATTAAATTTCCACGATTTCTGAATGCTTTTGTGTTCTTTCATTCGGCACGCTATTGTCCAAATGAAACAAACAGACAAATGAACATTAAAAGCGATTGAAATAACCAAACACAAGAATTTCAATCGTGAGGATGGGTTTAAATTGTCAAGTTTCTGGAATCCAGTTGTTCGTATGTGTAAAAACCGCAAATCGAAAAAGTGTCGCCCCGCGATCTGATACTGTGAGTATTGTGTGTCGGGAACAAGTGCGAGTGAATAGTGAGAATGTGACCAGTGGTAGGAGTATGGAACGCAGTAAAAGACGGCGTCAGAGGGTAGACCGATATGTCTGCCAATAACATCTACCCGCAATTACTGCAGTTATTCCGTGATCATGGCGCTTGCAACCGTGCCGAAATATCGTAACAAACCCGTTAATAGCTATAATGTTAGTGACCATGTTAGTTTAAAACAATATACCCACCAATCTCCCTCTTTTATCTATAGAAAAAGCAGTGGGGATAAATATAGGTAGATGATGATCATGAACAAAATTCGTTTCCAGTGCGTGGCTGACGCAGTCTACCCCCGGCCTGGGCTACCCCAGCGCTTGTGGCATGGGCCGGAGTCCTCCTGGCTGCTCACCCCACAGCGCGATGCCACACCAGTCGTCGCCGGTATCCGTCAATCCGTTCGCTACTCACCAGTTACAAGGACAGGTATGCTTCGTACAAAATAATATGTAGTTCAACACCTTAAATATCCCTGCCAGAATAGATAGGATCTTCCATTCCACTGTACCAGCAAGTTAGGGGGTCACTTGTTGCATCTTGTATATTCCTGGCACTTCACTTGGCTATTCGTAACTGATACTAAATTTGTTAAATTGACACCTTTCTCTCTTTTTCACTTACTACAGATTATACTATGAACAACCGGCTGTCAAAATGATAAATAGCCTTAGATTAAAACAAAAAGGATTAAAAAAAACCCTTTTTGTTTTAATCTAAGCAAAAAGCAAATTGCTAAAAGAAGTGCCGGAATAAAAATGACATATTTGTCAAGCCTTTTAAAAATCTAGACTTTCGAAGAAAATGGCGGGCTGACTGAATGGCATTACGCTATAGGTTCGTATATATTAGAGTTTCTATCATATTTGACTAGGCAAAATGCCGATGTAAAAATGTCAAAGATCTGCGTTTTTCAGTGGTCACTTGCGATATGCATGTACTCTACTAGTAACTACTGTATTTCGTCGTCGTGAAAACACGTGTTGTGTCTAATGATGAGCAATACGTCATGTTGCTTGGTCACCTTTGTAATATGATCATTAGGAATTGCACGCAATGCAATTCTGTTCGGGAGTGTTACGATAGTAAAAAAAAAAAAGAATGATATTATAGACCCGACATTACTTCGAGACGTGTATTTTGCAGATTATCAGTCGTGCATCAGCACGAGGTTAATTAAAATATATATGTTAAAGCCAATCAATATCGGTAATTAGCGACTATACATCATTACTATATCATACATTATGCATAAATAAAATGAGTAGGCACATAAAGTGATATATTAATCACCTTACTTAATATTTGTTTGAAGTGCTTGAGATTGGCTCGATATAGTGAGACGAGAATCAAAAAATACTTAAGGCAAATCTAGAACGTTTCTAAATCATGAGAATAAAAGATAATGTAGGTAAGTTACCAGCAGAGTTTTTTGTTTTCTTTCAATTACTAGATTAGGAAAATGGTAAACAGACTCGGTACTATTAAAACATGACATTATTACTCACTTCACAATCGCGATGGAGATAGCACTTTGTATCTTCTCCACTCTAAGCTTTGTGTTGCCTAAATAAACATGAGAGCATTATAAAGGGATCGTTTAATTTACCTTGTCTTTATTACTATTTTTGTATTCTGTGATTTTATATTTACTTAAAATTATATCGAGGAAAATTGAAAACTAGGGGAAATATGGACTATATTTAAATCATCATCAGCCTATTAATGGCCCCGATGTAGCCGGGACCAACGTCCTTTCGAAGCAAGGAAGAACTCGATATAATTAGTTTTTGGTCACCCTCCAATGTTCGACCATTGCTAAAGTTGCTTGACTTTCATGATCGCCGGCTCTAACCACCTGCGCCATCGAGCTCCTCAATATAAAATAGGTAATAAAGCACAGCAACCAAAGGCACAGGTAGATGAAAAACTAAACAAATAAAAGGGTAGCAGAAGACAATGTGAAAACAGATGTGTAAAAAACTAATAAATAAATTCTATGGCAGCTTTCTGATCAGTAGATTTCAAGTATGGTAGTTATTTCAAATAATATATTCTATATCTTCTATCAAAATAATTGATTCAAATTTCTAATAAATAAGAAACACAACCATTTTCTGAAATAGAGGTGAACCGAATTAACTGCACGCGAGTGTATGAATTTGTATTAAATTGCCGCCTTGTTTACGCGCAGTTGGATTTTATACTGTTTTCCAGAAAGATAACTATTTTATTAATATTTTGATGAGCAAAAGTACACACATCAAAAGTGTCTAGGGATCAACATATATTTTTGCAATAACTTTTCTCCTGATTGATATTAATTAAAATTTTCTTTAAGGATTCATCAAATAAAGTGTTTTCGTTTGTCACAGTAACGATAAACCAAGTCACCTTTGCATTAATAAAGAAATTTGCCATTTTCCTAATAAAGGGATTTTTGACATTTGAACCACTAACACAAAAGTTCGAAAAAAAGACTGAAAAAACAGTTTTCTCTAAAATTTTATTGGGTAACTTAAACAATTAATAATCCGTATTTCTACCGCGAACACTAACAACACAAGAACATCGGTTTGGCATACTCAAAATGAGTTCATCCAAATCACGCTGTGGAATGGCCGCCCATGTTCGTTGCAACAACAAAAAAAGGTCTTCTTGCGACTGGATACCCTCCATATTCGGCAGAGCTCTTCTCTGTAGCATATCCCATGCATGCTCAATCGGGTTCAAGTCTGGCGACTGAGCAGGCCAGGGCAGGACATTGATGTTAGCTGCGGCGAGAGTCTGTCTTACAACTCTTGCGGTGTGCGGTCGTGCATTATCATGCATTAACTGAAATAAGGGACCGATTTGCACTTGTAGAGGAACGATGACGTCTGATACAATCGTCTCAGCATAAATTTGAGCGTTGAGGTTGCCTCTGATCCAAATCAACTCAGTTCTTCCGCCGATCCAAATACCCGCCCATACCATGATGGTTCCACCACTATAAGGATGGACTTCCTGGCAGGATTTTAATCGCTGTTGGCGTCCAGGGGTTCTCCAGTGTCGTATACGTCTTGTATCCGGTCTCATACCAAAACGAGACTCATCAGAAAAGCACACGAAACGCCATTGTTCTTCTGCCCAATTTCTGTGTTCAAGAGCCCATTGATATCGAATCCTACGATTGTGCATTGCTATAGGTGGTACCCGTAGCGGTCTTCGGGAATGAAGGTTCACTTCATGCAAGCGGTTTCTGACTGTTTGGTCGCTAATTAAGTTCCCTGAAGAGTGATGAAGCCTCACGGCTAACATCATGGCGGTTATTGTTGGAGCTCTTCGAGTTAAGATTTGAATGTATCGGTCTTGTCTCCGTGTGGTGCAGCGATACCGTCCTCCATGGCGCTCAGCCACGGTACCAGTGCTTCGGTATCGTGTCCAAAGTCGACTGATAACACTCTGACTTGTATTCAGAGCTAAAGCCACAGTACGTTGCCGGGAACCAGCTTCTATCATTCCCACGGCTCTGAGCATTTCTTCCCTGCTTAAATGACGTCGCCGCTCCATAATAACGTTGGTTTTAATCAGTAGTAGGGAAACAGTAGCACTAATAATGTCTTCAATGCGTTGTATGTTTTTATAGGGAAAATATTGACAGCTGATTTTCATCTTTTACTCGAATTTGATTCACAGTTCCTGATTCAAATTATGAAATGCACCAAAAAGGATCCATATAAATTTATAAAATCATAAATTTATTACAAAGCCACATCTCAATCTCAAGAAATCCGCATAAAAATGCTTGATCCCTAGACACTTTTGATGTGTGTAAATTGCAAATTCAGTCTTTCAGGTTAGTAACACAGCAATTCCATATACAAACCGTAAAAAAAAATTAAATCATATTTTTAATAATCTTTTTTATTTATCATCCTAAACGAATCTTCATTCTGACCATTCTGATGTCGTTTTCCGAAAACATTAGTGACAGTAATTAGTTTGCGCGAGAAAAATATTCACAATAGGAAATAGGCATGATTATATGTATGTATATATCAGCATATCTTTATTTATATATTTTTATTTCAAAATGATGATGTTAAAAATAGCAACTTTGCATGGGCATTTTAAACGCATGCTATTTTGGAAGTTTTGGTTTATACTGTGACGTGACGTCACAGCAACCTAGCAACAAAACAATCAAGTACACAGCTAGATTATGAAGTTAAGAGGGGTAGCGGTGTTTTTTCCATATAAACGTTCTCGAATGGTTCCTCCTCGATTTTTAAAACTAAAGAAATATATTTTTACTCATTCTATGCTCTTATGTCTTCCTTTTTTCGATAACATGTGTTTCAAAGGTTGCTTTGAAACACAAGTTATCGAAAAAAGGAAGTTCTAGTTGTAGAAGCCCTCTAAAATGCAAAAAATTAATATTTTTATCACCAATAAAGACATCTAGTGTGGAGATTCAATAGACAGAATAAGCAAAACGTAGAGGCCTAGTGTTAAAACTACTTATTTATTCTATAAGTAAAATTTCTTTAACATACATCCAGATCAAACCTCGAATTTTGAAAATTTTTATACGCCATTTTAAGCGTTAGCTACTGTTGCCTCTATCGCACTGTAGTTGCCAATGCGCGACAGCGATAGTTTTTTCAAATACCTATTTCTTAAATGTCTCTAATCTCGCGTCGCTCGCACTAGATCGCCTTGATTTTGGTATATCCTGTGAACATGGCTTTTGTTTATTGATTTGTTGCTATGTACCTCTACGACACAACAGCTCCGTCGCGTTTTAGAATTATTGGAATTTCCCAAAAGTTTGTGGCACTTTTCAAAAATTAATATTTTGCTCATAAAAATATTAATAAATATTGATGGAGGGACAATTCAAAAGTAATAGTTTATAAAAAAATGCTCTATATATGAATTACATGCATATTCCCTATTATAAATCTGTAACATTTTGTGTACGCAAACACAAACCGATAAACATTTTATTAAACGGTTTGTGGTGGCAATTTGCGAACAACCAGCTTTATTGCCTCTTGATACGCTACTAAAGTTTTAATCTGAATTTAATTACAAAAATGAAACTAGCGACTTGGATATAAAGGATGTTTTCTTATTGTTGGGTGTTCTTTATTTTATACTTAAAACACCGTCGTGCCCGATTTTTTTTTAAATCTTAAAACGAAACTTCTGTTCCATCTATCGGGTGGATTTGTGACCAAAGGAAATAGTTTAATTTTTATATAAAAATAAAGAAATTAAGAAGTTTCATGACAACAAATGCATAGCTTAACTAACTTCGTGTAGGTAATTTTATGCGGCCTGCCTCAATTCACATATGCTACCAACAAGGGTGTTTCCCTCAAATTGATTAGAAAAATAATTGATATAGTGGTTTTTGAAGTGCTTAATATTTAGGGCCTTATCATAATGACGGATTGTGAGTATTTTCAAGGCGGAGCCGACGCATAGCAAAGACTTTGCGGCCGCACACCGAGCACGTTGCGGTCGCGCTACGTTTTCACCGCCAATAGCACCATGGACGCCATTATGTACAGTTTCATATGCAAACCTTTACAGTCCTTTTTTTCAGGTGACTCCGATAGTCCTGAGTGTATATCTTTATATGTTATACCACTTTGCTTCAAGTGTTACCACTTATAAAATGTAGGTCTTGCCATTTGTAGTTATGAACGAAATTGTTTTGGATTATTTTGATTCTTTTGCAAAACAGCACATAGTGGTCAGTGGTTATAAAGCTAACAGCAGTGTTTCCTCCTCGCAATCCATTATGTTACTGAGTGTATCGTACGCCGCGCACAGGTGACGGAAACGTTGCGTGTACGCGAGGTTTTTTAACGTTTTTTAACGTAATATTTTCAATTTATTATACACGTTTTTTTTTCACTCCCGTCAACAAATTATTGTTGTTGTTTTATGATTTCTGTAGGACTGACAATAAAACATGTTTCGCTTTTCAACAATCCACCATATTGCGCAAAGTGAAATAGGGAGATTCCTTATCTTGGTCTGTATTATGTATAATGCGATTCAAATAAGAATAGGAAAGCCAATGACCTTCATTTGTCAAACGACGCTTGTAAAGTACAGTTTGCAAAAAAATCTCGGAACACTTTTTTAGCACTCAGTTAATTCTAGAATAAAAATCAAACATTTTCAAACAAACATTGATAATTAATATTGGTTAATTTTTTTCATTTATTGAGCTTTGGCTATGAATGGTTGATAACCTAAATCGTCAACCAAATGTCACTTTATGTTGCGTTCTGAAACTCGATTTTGCACTTTCGTTTACATATAGGATGCATGTTCGTATGTGACCTGCACAGACCCGTCTTTTCCCCCGGCGTCTGGCCCCGCGATCGATAGGGGCCCACCTCAGATCACAAATACAAAGTCCCTTGTTCCTGTTAGATCACCAAACGGGGGTCATAGGGGTCCTGAGTGTTACCACTTATAAATTGTTTCATGTTTTTGTTTTTCAGTTACAGAATCCGTTGCAGCCTATGCAATCCATCCCAATGAATAGTTACAACCCCATTGGTGTATCTGCTCTTGGTGAGATATTTTTCATAATCGTTCTTGCTATAACTAATTGTCCTTAATCATTAGATAGAACTTTAAGGATAGTGTAAAAATTTATAAAACGCACTTTATTTTACCCGCTCAGTGTTTTAAATTTTGCTATTTCTATTTAGGTCCTGAAGGATCAACTAGTCCTGGCCCTGGGTATACGCCCTCTTCCGGTGGATTCTCGCCGAGTCGACATCACGACATCGTCACCTCGTCTGATGCAGCCGTCTCTAGATTTCCTTTCTGGACTGAAGGTATTGATAACTATGAATTATTTGTAGGATTTGAGATAGTGAAGTAGGGTACAGCGAGTTTTTGCGCTCGAATCGGAGCGCCCGTCTAGGAAATCAACCACGATTTATAGACGACTGTAGCCAAATACTTAAGTAACACAACTGTATTTTGGTTTTAGTGTCGCTTGTTGATGTATTCATCGTAAAACGTGATTTATAGCAAGACTCCTTAAAAAAGACAATAATGTAATAGCACAACTACGCTTTTAAAAACATATTTTTTTTAAATATAAAAGAATTAATACTTGTGCCGCAAACCTGTAATAAACAGATATCCTGTGCTTAAAAACAAAATCTTAATCGTGATTAGGCGTATGAAAATGAAATGAAAATGGTTTTTATTTCCCAAAGAGTTAGTTTACAGTACAAGGTGAGACAACCCAGAAAGTAATAATAATTAAGACTTGTGTTGGGATGCCTCGCTTTTAGCCTAGTGCAGTTCACAAATTTGGGCACATAACAACTGATTGTTTAAAGTATCAGGTGAAATTGTATATGTGTTTGTGTGTGAGTGGGTGTGCGTGCGTGTGTGTGTGTTAGTGCATGTATGTGGGGGTATGTGTGTATTTGTGTGAGATGGAGAGTGAGTTCGTATGTTATCAAATTATACCGCCCTTTTTTGAATCAGAACCTTAATTGCGTTCCGCATTATAACGTTCATCAGGCTGTAGAGGACATCATCTAAGATTCAATGTAACTGAAAATGAAACACTGGATTTTCAATATTTTTTGTATTTTCATCTCATAATTACAACATGGGTATGTTGTCTATTCCACACCCGTTTCTAGAAGGCCTTCTCTTGAATTGAGACTAAAGTAACCGCACTATTGTAATTTTAAAGTGTTTCTTTATTTTTTAATTCATATTCTCTTAAATGCCAGCCGTTGGCACTAGAAAATTAATAATAAATAATAACTAGCAAAGAAGATAGTAACGCTGCGGGCGTTGCACCCTCTGTACACCCTCAAAACATTAAGTCTTAGGAGACTATCAAATATTTTTTTCACAAAAAGACATACATCTCTAAATCCCTAGCAAAGTATCCCTACCTGCTTAAGGAAGTTCAAATAGTTGAGAGGCGCATTTTACTACAGACTAGCTTTTGCAATGAAAAGTTCGTTAAGTTTATTGCAAAAAGTTAACAGGAGCAAAACATCAACAAAAACACCCGTGAGTCTTCCCCTAACCTTACTTGTAACCAGTAGCAACATCGGTCGGCGAAGGCAAAGACTATTACACCCTTTACTTTTGAATTCCTCAATCTTTTAATGAGATAATTATTATTACCAAAAGGTCGTATTACGTGGTATGGATAGCCTAGCTTCTTATTTAGGTTAGGGTAACCTTATCTCCTGTTTGCCCTGAGATTTTAAGACTTCTCAGGATTTTGTTGTTTTTGTTATAGATAGGTCCGACAAATGACTTCACCTCACCTGATGTTAAGTGAAGGTTAAGTCCAGATGTGAAGTTAGCTTATACAGCAGTTCTACCTGCCACACCAGCCATCCTCACCCTGCCGGCATGCATGTTGTTGTTGCTTCTTTACGCCTCTTTTATTTTGCTAATGTTAGAAAATCTCAGGATTTTTACAATTTTTAATAAAACACTTCAATATAAAAACGACCTTTTCCATAAAAAGTTGAACAAACGAAAAATAATTGTCTAAGCAAAGAAAATAATTTAAAAAATCTTTGAGCCGCCTGATCATCGGATTTTTAATTTCATGTTGATTGCATTGAAATAATAAATAAAATGTATTAGTTGTTTGACTTGAACAAAATATAGGACAAATAGAAATTTAATAACATAATAAGTACTATAAATGGTGTGTGTGTTAAAAAAATCAATGTAATTTTATTTATTTAATCTGATGTATTACAATTAATACAATCAAGTCAATTAATACAATACAATAAACGATTATTGTTGTTGCTTTATCGTATTTTGTGGGTGAAGATGCTTTTTATAAGTAATGTGGGATTTGTGAGCAAGACCCACCGAGAACGGTCGTGTATAAAAACGAAAATGATAAAATCGTTTATTAAGTTTGAGATAAAATTCTCAAATTGCCACATAATCTCAGATTGTTTTCAATGGAAATCAGACCTTTTCTCCGGATTGGTGATCTGATAATCTGGTCAACCTAACTGAGGCCTGTCCTTTTAAAAGAATATAATAAACTTGTCTGAGTTGATATCGTGGGCCTTGAGCAACAGGGGCGTATACGCAAAAATGTTTCAATCACGCATTCCCGCGGGATCCCGCTGTTTTTTTTAATCTTCAGGATTCTATGATATAATGAAGTCTTTTGACCAATTTAATAAAAAGAAAACCTGTGATCTGTGGGGAAATTTCGTTGATGTCTCTAAATCAGTAATTAAAACAATAGCTCCAATCTTAGCTGACATATTTAACCAGTGTATTGACTGTGGTGTTTTTCCTGATCTCATGAAACACAGCAAAATAACTCCATTATTGAAATCCGGTAGCACATCTGACCGCACTAACTTTAGACCTATATCTGTGCTTCTACACTTTTAGCAAGATATTTGAAAAAACAATGCTAGACCAAATGCAGTCTTATTTCTATAAAAATAAGTTACTTCATTCAAAACATTGGTTTTACAAGGGGACGCTCTGCAACCGACGCTGGTGTTGAGTTTTTACAAACACATTTTTGATGCTTGGGAGGAATCACGTGATGCTTTAAGTGTCTTCTGTGATTTGTCTAAGGCTTTTGATTGCGTTTTTCATGGAACATTAATCAGGAAACTACGCCACTATGGAGTAAAAGGTAGCACTCTGGATCTCATTGTGTCATATTTGAGCGATAGGATCCAGAGGGTTGACATCAATGGCAAAAGATCTCCCAGATCGTTAGTAAAGATGGGTGTTCCTCAGGGCTCGATTCTTGGTTCTTTCTTGTTTTTAATTTATATAAATGAACTACCTTACTTTGTGAGTGATAATTACGAGATAGTATTGTTTGCAGATGATACTTCACGTACGTCATGTACTTTTAAATAAGTAAACGAAAGCAACAACTTATTGATGACGTGAACAATGCCATTTCTAAAGTAGTGTACAGGTTTAATGCTAATAATTTACTTCTTAATGAAGGTTAAACGAAATGTTTAAAAATTTCATTACCCAATGTGAAGCAGACACAAACCAGTGTAACTATTAAAGATAAGAATATAGACCTTGTGGACAGTATTCTTAGCCCACTAGATTCAAAGCTTCAGTAGGGCTCATATATTGAGAAATTATCGAAGAGACTTAGCTCTGCAGCCTACGCGGTAATGAAGATACGCCAATTAACTGACGTAGATACTGCTCGATTAGTATATTTTGGTTATTTTCATAGTGTGATGTCCGTACAGTATTTTGCTGTGGGGAAATGTTTGATGAAAATGAAATTCAAACTATATTTGTGCTACAAAAGCGGCTGTTCTATCAAATTACAATCTTAAGACTAGAGACTCTTTAAGAGAAAATTTTAAAGAAATAGATATAATGACTGTTGCTTCTCAGTACATTTATGAAAATTTAATGTATGTGAGAAAAAATATTACACTATTTCCTATAAATAGTGAAAAGCACTCGCTTTATACTAGAAATAAGAATAAATTAGCTGTACCAATTAGAAGGCTCCACAAAATCAATAATTCATTTAAAGGTCTTTGTGTACGCTTCTACAATAAAGTCCCTAGCAATATCCAAACATTGAGCGTCAATAAATTTAAAACTATCATTAAAAGAGTTCTAATTAATAAAGCCTATTATAAAGTGTCTGATTATATTTCGGACAAAAATGCTTGAGTTTAATCTGTTCCAAACGTTCCGGCAGACTTTTTCATAATTATGATGAAGATGAAATTATTTTGTATTGACACCGTATTTTGTAAATACTGTTACATAATTTTTCTCCACAGCTAAAAAATGTCCTTAACTGGTGGTAGGGGAAAAAATATGGACGATTCAAAAGAGTTGTATTTTGCATCCAATTTGAATAAAGATATTTTGGTATAGTCATACCTACGTTGGATAGTGGTTGCAAATCATTGGTTGTTGCTAAATAGTCTTATTGTATGTTTTACTAATCATGATGTTAAAACTGACCCATTCTCCGAACTGCACAGATCCAAATATACGTTAATTGATAACTACAGATTAAAGTTAATAATAAATTACTCTGACCTAATTATACACTCACACCCACCCCATTTTTTGCCCTGAGGTGACATAAAAAGATAGTAAGAATTCAGATTCTGAGTTGGAGGAGGTTTCTGGGGACACTGAAAGTGATGAGAATAGAAAGAATCATTGAACTCATCATCAGCATAGTCACATACATTTTGTAACTTTTTTTAACAAAATACATATCAATATTTAAAATTACTAAATTTTATTTTATACATCGTAGTATGCCGCCAGGTGTTTATTAGATATCTTTTACGTTATCTAATAAACACCTTCTCCCCTAGCATGAGCACCACGGTAAGATATTAATGCGTTTTTATCACGCTCGATTGTCAAATTACTATGGAGTTTGACGGTTAGACCGATAATACGATAAAAACGTGATATAATGTAAGTTGTGGTGCTACGGGAACTGGTCTTACAAAGTCACCTATTGATAAAGAATGGAATCACGAGCCATACAATACTTTACTCGTTGTGAGTTGTTTCCTAACTTTGGTATTAGGTGGCGCTGTGCGTAATTTTAGAATTATGTTTAGCGTATTCGCTAGATGTCGCATAAATCTCGAAACCCGACAATGCTACTTCTTTCTTAAACACAATATATAAAGGACTGAAAGGAATGGAGGAATGGAAGACAGGACTGTAAGAAAGGAAAAAGGAACTGGTGATTTTCATGTAACTCATATGGTACCTAATTATATACACTCAAGTGTTTTCTACCTTCAATGGTGTAGTCTGAATGAGCATAGCGGGCTCCGGCCTCGATTCGCATTAAACAATAACCCTCGTGTCGCCTCTCCGAAAACTTAATTTGTATGATGGATCTACGCGTTTTGGAAACAAAAACTCGCAAGAGGCTGCTTCGAGTTCGCCCAAGTCTAAATAAATCGTATAAGAAATATGATAACATAAATTTAGTCTTGTTCAAATATTTAACAGAAACAACGGGCAAAATTCACTCATAATTTTTGAAGAAAACGGAGATATTGAGTTATTTTTCCCCAAAAAACCAACGTTTTTTGAATCTCTTAAGTCATTAGACAAGTGGGAACATGATGGAAGTGTAACCACGGTCGAAGTTGCACGATCAATATTCGTAGAAAAAGGGTGGCAAGCCTGCACCTGGCAGCCTGGTTTAACTGGGATATCCATAGAGCAACGCGTCTGAGGCTGCCAGACTTGTTTGTCGAAGAGAAATAATTTTCCTTGTGGTCAAATTATTTTCAATAAAAATAATGAACATTTATGTTATAATTGTAATCTACATTTTTATAATTTGGTTAGATTGATCAGCTATTTGTATGAAAAATTAAGAAATATTTGTTATTGATAGACAAACTACTTGGACTAACTAGTTGTGTAGTTTGACGACAAGGAAAACTATTCCTGTTGGATAGTTGGATTAACTAGTTAGACCAGAAACTTTGACCACTGGAATTTATAGGAAGAACCAACAAAAACATCTGTGGTTCTGTAACCTTATTACGAGTTTTACAATTACAACACTATGATAGTTTTCGTGAGCTCGCACAAACTGTCAGTTCACCTCGTCAATGGAAGTAAAAGTTAATTTGTTCGAGCATCGTTTAAACGATATCGTCTATCGTTAACTCAATAATACGAACTTAACGGTGCATATTTTTATCTCTCTTACACGCTTAGAGAGAGAAAAGGACAGATTTCTGTCTAATATGGATGTCTAACTATTATCTAAATTAACTATGCTGCCGATTAAAGTTCATTACAGATTCCGCTAGAGGCGCTGGTATGTATATATGGAAACAAAACGAGATCATCATGGTTTACGAAAACTATCAAAACTCGTACTAAGGGTACTGAAGTCTACATGTCCGAAGTGCCGGGCAGTGGCTAGTATAATATTTGCATCAGAGTAGAATACGTATTCGCAGGTGGATCACCCAGTCCGAACACCGGCTACGTGCCCGCCAGCAGCTTCTCGCCCACTAGGCGTCACGAGGCGGTCACCTCGTCCGATTCCCCTTCATCACGTTTCTCCTATTGGCCAGAAGGTAAACAATATGGTTTAACAAGAAACCCACACACACATACACACACAGAAGTTACCTACCATAAAAGTAAATTAAAATGTATTTCAAAAATACAATGGCCAAAATCACACACGTGCTTAAACAAACTCACACATTTACACGCTTACCTACTGATATAAATAAAACTAAAATAAAAATATGAAATGATGACTTGGCAAGAAATTGACACTAAATTCAGCCGGGCTGTGGCGGCCTGGTGACCTGTAAAACGGGTTGTAACCTTAGTTCAGGCACCAGTCTCCATAGCCAAATATTATTAATAATATTATAATGTTATTTTTTAGCACAAAACGGTTGTTCATGATAATAGAGAAAATAAGATAATATGAATATATATATATATAGCTACACCATTGTTACCTTCGTGTTCCCGCAGACTTAACATTAACGAAACTGTTATTCTGTCTGTCAAAGGTATATTTTTTATAGCTTTTTCATTTGCTTATATTTTAGGAAAATTGTAATTTAAATTTTTATTATACTAAATTACCACACAACCTAAGTTTCTACGATCAAAAATACAAATAGCGCGTATCTCAACCACTTTGTATGTATGTTTTGGTCATGCGACATCAGCGCCTCTGGCGGTGAGATTTGTCAGTGTTTTCCCATTGCATTAATTATTACTGGCCTCCCTTTTTTAAATTAGTTTTTATTTATTTCAGTGGTTGGAGTCAAGGAAGAGGCTTCATCTAGTCTCATTTCGAATGGCCCACCGTATTCTAAATGTTTTATGTAAATTATTTCTAGAGGGAAACACAAGACTATTATTATCCACGAAATCTGTTGCACTCATAGTAATGTAAGATTCAAATGGATAAATTGACTGTAGAATAAAATTGATGTTATGTTTTATTCGGTGTATAAATGTGCATATTTAAATGATTGTAGAAGTGTTTACTGTTAAGTCGAATAATAAGCAATGAATCGTATAGCAATACAGCTTTTCATATTTGCCATAAAAGAAGCAGTTTTGCCGAAACAAAACAAATATCGAATTTTACTGAGGTTTACGTCTTAATTGTGCAATGTACTTTGTTCAATACTTTGTTAAACTTCATGATTATTATGTTAAGTTTATTGTCTTTTGACAGCCAAATTTTAAGAATTGTTAACGAGGTGTTTTTAGTGCCTCGCGAGAAAACTTTACTAGACTGTAGTCACTGAAATTTCTCTGGCTAGTACTAGCCTTGTGGCTTAACGGCGCAATACTGAAAGATCATTTAATATTTGAGAGTTAAAAAGTTACCGTTAAAGGTAAAACAAGGTAAATGGCGTCGATTTCTAGTGTAAAAAAAGCAAACGTTCGTATTTGAAAATTGGTCCCGAAGATATTAATTTTTTGGGCTTTTTTGGCATGTACTTTACTAGCTAAAAGGCTTTGGCGTGTTTTAAGCTAGATGTACTTAGCAGAACAACTTTTAATAAATGCTTGTCAATATAACTAAAAAAAAGTTTTCTTTACCACTTTTACTGTGTTCATATTGGTCACCTAAAATTTTTCGGATCTTTGGTGCTTAGACTAGTTTCAGCCTTTGCACATTCAATATGATCAGCTTCAGAAAATTGAGTGAGGTTTCAGTATTCAGCCGAATAGTTTGAAAATTATGTACTTTTTATGTTCTTATAAACTCATGTCCGCTTACGCGTTTAAAATAAATACCACTCTAAAGACTGTTGTTTGCCAAGTAATAACATATTGAAGTTTGGAGTTTTAAACATGATTATGTATGTTCTTATCCTTATATCTTGCTTTGTAGCAAATATTTGTCTAAACGAAAATGTGTGCTATAGAGGAATATGGGAATGGGGATGGGTTAGACAATGAAGAATATTGTTATTGTAAATAGAATGCAAGTGAAACAATTGATTGTAAATGAATTTCATGGCCCGTTAAAGAGGTTGATATTGAAATAAGTTGTAATTAAATTTTTACAGCGACCTGATTAAACTTACCGAGTGATGAATGTTGTAAATCGTTCCATATGCTACTGTTTCTTTTTATTTACTGTTATGTATACATGATTGTCTTAGATTACTTTTTCTAAATTATTATTTTTAGATAGATGTTTATTATAATAAAGTAACTGTATTTATTTAATGTCAGTGTGAGCTCAACTTTGAACGCCACACCTTAATAAATCACATTGAAGTCTTCTTATTTTTTTAAGTTGGTTTGCTTACGAGATATTATATTTCGTATTATTTTGTTAATTTTGGATGTAAATTCTTTTAACGTATAGTAACCTAAATAGTCAGTAGTTTGTCATAAAATAGTTACAATAAATGTCTTTATTACAGTAATAGATATCGAATTAGATAAATAAAATGCAAATTGCTGAGATTGAACTTATCTTATTTCGAGTACTTTGTTCTGAGACTACTGCATGTCCCCTACACATGACATAATATCTGTGGTGATTGTGAACACTCAATACAACAATGGATTTCCTCTTTACAGAAGTCTGGAATAGTTTTATTCTTATTATTGCTTTCTTTATATTCTTTCAGTATACGAGGTTTTCAAAACTCCAGGGTTAGTTAGAGGATAAGGGCAATGATAATCACTGATTTTGCAAGTATCCGTATTCTATGGAAGCTACTTACCACCAGGCTGTTGTTTTTCAATATAATAACAAAATGTGTGATTTATAAAAATGTTTCTTTGGTTGAACGTGCTAATCTCTTAACGCATTTATTAACAGAGGGCACTGATCAGACAAATAAAACCGTGGGGAGTAGCGTAATATGAAAAAATACGTGTAATAAAACTTCTAATATAAATCAGCAACTTGTTTATTCACCTTTTCACCTTCCACACTTTGGCTGCTAACAATGCTCTCTTTCAATTCATACCAGTATGGACATCTTGAAATCCTCACCGGAAAAATCATCGAAAACAATTCATCGAATTACAATTCTTCGAACACAATTCATCGAAAAAATAATTCGTCGAACAACAATTCTTCGAACGGTAATTCCCCGAAAAACAATTTCATGCTTTTTATATTTCATATTATTAGTGACAGAACCGAAGTGGGGCGGGGGGGCGCAGCTCCCGCAAGGGGGGCTCGGGGGCCGAAGCCCCCCGCAATGAATAAAGTCTAAAGAGTTCATTATGTTAGGTTAGGTTAGTATGATGACCAAAAACGCGCGAGCCGAGCGAGCGGAGCGAGCGTGCCGCGGCAGCGGCCGGCGAAGCGCCAGAAACGACACTTTTGTACGTGCAACGTTTTTTTTTTCATACTTTTCCCCTTTCCCCACCTCGTTTTAGCCTCCCTCCTGCTAAATTTTCATTTTTTTTTTGGAATTACCGTTCGAAGAATTGTTTTTCGACGAATTGTTTTTTCGATGAATTGTGTTCGAAGAATTGTAATTTCGACGAATTGTTTTTTCGATGAATTGTGTTCGATGAATTGTGTTCGAAGAATTGTAATTCGATGAATTGTTTTCGATCAATTTTCCGCAAATCCTTGAAATGGATTAAAGTAACAGGACGAAAATTATTTTGTGCTTCAAAAGCACGTTCATCTGCTGCTGGTGATCACGGATGTTTTGTTAGATAATATTTTGTAAAAAAATATATAAAGTAATATAAAATATAGTAGTTTTATGTTTGAAAACATAAATAACTTAGTCAAATTTGGGATTAATTAAAAATTAAAAAATCGGGACATTCCCTGCGCAATACGATGACAATAGGGTGCATTTTGAGTGAGGCAGCATTGTGCCAAATACCACATATAATACGCGAGCTTTTTACTATCATGTTGGTGTTTGCCAATAGTCTGATCCATTAAGTCTGTGGGATGCATTTTAAGAATATCTTTCAGAAGATTTTAAATGATAAATCGAAATATAGATAGTATACGACATGACCATTTAACAGAAATGAAGAAGCCTCTTAAGTTTAGAAGGGTTTTCCCTAAAAGAGTACGGCTTACCTTGGTTGTGGTAAGATCTATAGCATTAGAAATAGAGAATTGTTTTAAGAAACTAGCTTCGATGTCATGGCTTTGGAGGGTTTAATCAGGAATAATAATGATTTATTAACAGAAGAACAAAAGTCAGCATGCGAATAAATAAGTAAAGAGTGCGAATGCAAGTGAGGGCCAAATTTTCTTTTTAGATGCTCCAGGTGGCACCGGCAAAACCTACCTATTAAATTTGATTTTGGGAAAAATAAGGGTCCCACGAGATATTGCATTAAGTGTGGCTTCTTCGGAAATTGCCGCAACAATTTTGGCAAGGCGGTCGGACCGCACACTTTTCCTTAAAGTCACTGAACCTAACAACTCCATTATGTGATATTGCAATGCAGAGTAAATTTGCAGAAGTATTGAGATAAACTTAAATTATTGTCTGGGGTGAAAATAAGTACTATGGCCTATAAAAAAGAGAAAGAAGCTTTGAGTAGGACTCTTCCAAGACATAGCCAGCAACAAAAGTTTGATGGGTGGTTTGACTGTATTGCTGGCAGGAGACTTTGGTCAAACTCTACCAGTAGTCCCACGGGGAACATGTGCCGATAAGATAAAAGCGTGTCTTAAAAGATCATCATTGTGGCCCTTAGTTAAAATTTTAAAGTTCATATGTATACTTTCTGATCTTTAGGCGTCTCGCGCAGTAGACGAGCACGGCCACTGGCCGCGACGAGCAGATTAACTGTAGAAACCACACGAACGTGGCGCACTTGGCTGCAACGGCCAACTTTAACCTGGTCGTGGCCATCTAGTGCGCGAGGTGCCGAAGGGTAATGCCATGAAAATGACTATAATAAAAAAAAATTGGGTGCGTGTACTTATGTAGGCGCGTGAGAAGTTATCCTTCTTTGGCATCGTTTATAATTAGTTTTTAATTGCATGCAAATAATTAATTACAATAAATTAATAAAAAGTCTGGAAAAGGACACAGTCAATAAAGTTCACTTTTAATTTGAAAAAAAAAAATCAAAATATTCAATTAAAATCGCTACTAAATATAATTTATTAGAACATATGTGATTTGCACTTGTATGAAACTCAAACACGTATTCCGAATATACAAACTAGAAACATGTGGATAAATATTATAAATATGAATACCTATAACTGTTACTTTATTACAAAAAATAAAGATGTGGTTTTTGGTTCTACTACACCAATGGTCAAGAGATGGCGCTGTAGTCTCCTGAATCGCGCTTTGGTTCCGTTGTTCCAGATTAATAAATACTTTTGATATTATAAATATGAATACCTGTAACTGTTACTTTATTACATAAAATAAAGATGTGGTTTTTGGTTCTACTACACCAATGGTCAAGAGATGGCGCTGTAGTCTCCTGAATCGCGCTTTGGTTCCGTTGTTCCAGATTCATAAATACTTTTGATAGGCCTTCACAATGCAGTCGTTAGCACCCACTAAATAGAGATTCTATTTCTATTTTGTTGGTAGATTTTCTTAATGTGCGGTAAACACAAAAGTAACGCATGAAGTTGGTCGCTAAAGCGACCAACTTCATGCTGTTAAAATTTTGTGTTACAGTGATGCGCGCGCATCTTAAAATTTCACTCTCATCATTTTTTCATAACGCGCCTAAAGAAGTATAACTTCAAATATACCAATATATTTGTGATTTGTAGCAAAAACTAAAACTAGCAAAGGAATCCTCGACTATAAGGTCTCTTTCGGAGTGTATCAAACTTGTTACGGTCCGAGGGATGAGAAGTTCAGATGCGAGACGTATTTTCAAATGTAGTGCCCTGGGCCATTTAGGATTTACACAGATAAAATAGGGATTTCTCTTTCTTACGTTAACATTTCATAGATATACTATTATATATTTGTAACAAATGCCTGTATACGGCTTCTGCCGCCCTGAGTCATGACCTTTTTGTAACCAGGATAATTACGCCCCTAGTTCGGATGCAGAAATAAAAAAGGAACAAAGCGATGGTTTTAGACACATTTATTCTCTTCTCTAATCTAAAAATCTTACCATATAAAAATCATGTACTGATTTTTTATTCTCAGGTTTCGTATAAAACATTTAAATATTTTTAAAGCCCATTTCTATTGACACAATATTCTCGAGAAACTCTTTAAATATCTGTTTTTTTTTCAATAACAGTCAACGCCATAAAAATGTCGACCAACTGTAAAATTAATACTAAAGGCAGCTCAGAAACATCATCATCATCAGCCTATTAATGTCCCCACTGCTGGGGCACAGGCCTTGCCAGAAACTTCAATTTGATTTAATTCACCAATAAGTGACGTATGTGTACACTATAATAATAATAACGTTTATTTCTGAAGAAAGACAAGTATATTGGAATTTCAAAGAAAGGGAAAGCATCAACTTTAATCGTACTTATAAATTAATTGAAGTCTCTGAGTCCAGTTTAAAGGTACTTAATTTAAAGGATCTTTATTTTTTTCACTTGTAAATTGATGATTCATGGAATCTCTTAAAATATAAAAAAGGGGCATCATTAAAATACTTTTGAGCATTAATTTGAGCTTCGTCACGAAGCTCTCTTTTGCCAGCTGCGGATAGATCTAGAAACATTACCTGCTCCAAAACATACCTTAACTTTATTTTTTTATTAAAACACAGGAGACTTATGATATATACAACCGTGTTCATTACAACATTATCAATATAATTTCTCTATAAAAATTATGGCGATGACTGTATTACAACCGAATTATTTAATCCATTATATTAAAGCCATGTCAAGTCAAAATAGTACAAGACCAATCACCCCATATCAAATCGTTTATTTTTATATTATTATTTATATAAAATTAAAGTAACATTGCTAGAAAAAAAAAGTAAAATTTTCCATTGATATCCGTTATTTTATGATAGTACATACTGTCAATTACTCACTTGCTCTAAGACATCATTCTTTCCTTTGGTTTTGGTATCGTTGTTTGGAATTGTTTATTTTGAGTCTCGCTCAGTTCTAGTCCGACCCCTTCTATTCAGCCCAGATATTTTACCATTTAAGCATCATTTGCAGACCAAAGCGTTGTGCGTTTTTTCTTTTTCACCCCAGCATGTGACACATAATTTTCTAGAGCTCGTTGGGCAGGATATAAATATTTTGATTATTATTTTTTATTTTCAACAACAAAGAAATGGGAGGCTGTCACAGTTATAATTTTTGTCACGTAGTCTATTTAAAAATCGAAACCAGTTAGGAATAAGGAATTTTGGTATATGATATCCCGTATTCTGTATTTTAATAACAAATACTGAAAACGCCGATTCATAATGTACTTTTCTGAACAAAGATTTTGAACAAAATGATTTATCCTGTCTCGGTTTGTTGTACGGAACGCTTCGTGCGCAAGTGGGACTCGCACTCGGCCGGTTTTTTTATGAAGTAGCAGATTAATTGATTTTGCCCAATCGTCGGACCATTCACCTCGTTTACACCAGACAGTGTCACAGATGCCATAAGTCACCTTGGCTCCTGCAGTTCCCATGGCTTTTAAGATTTCAACTGATGATTGATTAGGTCCAGGTGTTTTCCTGTCTTTAAGTGCAGTAATAGCAGCTAAAACTTTAAATAATAGGAGGTTCTAAAGTGACGTTGGCCTATGAAATTAACCTATTACGCGATGGAGTATGTGATTACGAGGTTTTTGTATAATACCGGTCAATGATATTTTACATATCGCACGTCACAAACGGAGAGAGGAGATGGAGGTGGATACATAGTCTGCACCGACAAGAGCATAGCTCTTAAATTTAGAGAGAGACGTCACAAACAATAGGGCATTAAGTCGGAAAATTCGTTTATTTTTTTATTTGCGTTTCGAAAACTACATTTTTTTCTCTATAAACGGGTAATATAATTGTTTTTAATTCTAAATTGTTTTTGAGTTATAGCAACACATGTCTTTTTTGAATGCTCATGAACGTCATTTTCAAGGCAGTTGCATGTTAGTTATGACCCGTCCAGTCGTCAATTTCTTGGCAAAATATAAGATTTTGAGTATTCTAAACAGTATTATGTTAAGTAAATACCCCATTGACCGTTCAGATTAATACAAATTTGAAGTTTTATTTAAAATAATACCCTGTGGCCTGTTCAAGTTTATATAATATGTTATTTTCAACGAAATTATTTTAAAATGATACTTTATAGCCCCCGATTTGCTTGAAATAATCCAATAATACTTGTCAATTTTATTCTGCGGTTGTGAGTTGAAAGTTCAATATACCTTTCAAGCAAAACATAACTTCTGTACTTTATAATATTAACATAAAAATTTAATACACTCTTTTGCAAAAAAATGGGCACCTGAGGAAATTTACGTTGTAAGGTAGATTTCAGTTAATTCAATGAAATTTAATTATTTAACGTAGCCTGTATACTTATAATCGTCTAAATTAATACACGTGAAGTGAATTCTGGCAATTGTGTTTATAAATTTTCGATGAAATCTTTAAAACCGATATACACGGTCAAACAATAAAAAGTGGTCGGCAATAAAGACAAGAAGATTGTTTTACTTATTGACGTGACAACGTCTTAAATTAGGTTGCGGCTGGGAGTCACTTATGAAAAAGTGTAACGCTCGGTAACGTTACGATGAGTCTCTCGTGTTAAGTTTAAGTTTACATGTACAATGTTTTAGTAAACAAAATATATTTCTATAGTTAAAATTTGTGCAATTCTTATTTTCATTCAATTCCTTGTTCCTATTGTGCAATTTAATTATATTCATATCAATAAATATTCTACCGAGAAAAAGACGTTGTCACGTAAAATCTTCGCCCGTAAAACCGACTTTACAGGCAACCATTTTTTTAATGAAAAAAAGATAAAAATGTAAAAACCTAATAACGAGTATGACCTCTTTCCAAAACTTGTGACACAGCTCATATCCTTCTGGGCATGCTTTTCACGATAATTTTAATAACGTTTTGAAGAATACGTTCCCACTGTTTTGCAATGACTCTTTTTATCTCCCTGATGTTTTGTGGAGCAAGTTGCATTGACCTTACCCGTCTCTTTAGAACATCCCAGACATGATCAATTGGATTGAGGTCAGGACTTTACGCTGGCTAATCAAAACGACAGATACCAATTTCTTGCATGTACGCTTCCAGGTCGCCAAAACGGCACGGGCGAGCATTGTCATCCATAAAAGTGGAACCTCCCTCAAGTGCAGTCTATGCGGGCTGTGCAAATGGAACCAGGACTTTCTACTAAAAGTAACTTCATACTCGCCGTCAAATTAATTGCAGCCCAAAACATAACGGAGCCTCCGCCATAAAGTGTATTTCTTCGAAACACGCTTCCTCATAGCGTTCCTGTGGTCATCGCAGCGCTCGCTGGCGTCGATCTTCTACACAAAAATAGATTCGAGCTTCATCAGATAACATTACTTTATCCCAGTCCTCCAGAGACCATAAAGCACAGTTTCGAGCAAACTGAAGTCAGGCAAGACGGTGCTCACGGAGTAATTTTTAGAGCCTCGGGCTGGGCGGTAACTCCTGATATGGGTAGCCAAAAGCCTCCCTAACGGTCCACAAGCTAACTTCTTCTCCTCTTACTTCTTCAATGCTCTTCTTCAGGTCTACACTTAACGTCTTACAATTGAGCAACGCCCGACTTACCAAAAGCAGTCATCCCTTGGTTTTGTGAATTGTGTTCTTCCCGAACCGGGTCTTCTTTTGACTGAACCGGTCTCTTGATACCTTGCCAAGTCCACTGGGCAGTTGAAAGACTCACATTTAGCCGCTGAAAAAAAAAATGTTTGCGAACAACCTTCTTCAAGTAGGGCTATAATTTTACTGTTCCTTATTGCTTTATCACTAATATCAGAAAGTGTTCAAATTGAACCATTAGCAAAGCAATTTTTCTAAATACACAATATTTTTTTTTGTTTATATCAAAATTTTAACTTAGAACGTATATCATCATGCCAGGAAGCTTCAAATAACATGCCAATACATTGTCATATGAATTAAATCTCTTACTTGTCATATTCGGTAAAGTAGAGAAAAAAACTAAAGTGCCCATTTTTATCCAAAGCAGTTAATACTCGTTATCAATATAATATAGTAGATTTTGGTCAAGCAAGATAGTCGTAATTTTAACATCTGAGGCATTTCAACTGCTTATTCGCTATGTGCGAAGTACATGGTGGGGGTATAGTGAAGCGATCGCAGCGCTTATCGTGGCAGAAATACGCAACAATCCGGGAAAGTAAAGTCAATTTGCACGGAGTTCGTAATAAACAAAAATTTTTTAAAATGCCTATTAATAGATGTTGTTGTGTTGTGAATTGCAAAAATAAGGGCACAAATAGTCTGTGTATATATTTCCTACATTGGACTGGAAATTAAATCAAAGAAATAAATGGATAGATGCCATAAAAAGAAATAAGTAAGCGAAATAACCTTAAATTATGATCAATTTTATTTGCGCTATATATTTTATGTGATATTCATTATTGTCTTTATTATTTTAGTGTTGATGGGTCGCCATGGTATCCCAAACCTGACGACACAATTTGTAGTGAACATTTTATGGGAAACAAAATATCAGACGAGGAAGAAAATCCGAGTTATGCTCCTACGATATTCCCTGAAATATATCGAAAGAGGAAGGTTAATGATTCACAGGTCCTAGCTAGATATACACGCTTGACAAAACGAAGAACCACAAAAGTCTCAGATACCACATCAAGTCAAATAATAATTGAAGAAGGGAGTGAATTAAATCAAACTCAACCTTTTATGATCGATCAAGGATGTCAAGTCAATATGTTTTCTGAATCGAAATTAAAAGATACAACTTTTATTTGTATTAGATTAATTTACAGTGATCACTGTGATGCTGAAATCCAACATCAAGAATTTTAATGACAAATAATTCAAGAAAGAAAGATAAAAGCTGTGGCACTGACAAAAAATCGTATGAGGATCAATCTACCGAAACAAAAAGTCAAGAATTTGTTGGTATTTCATCAATAACAAATGATCAAGAACTCCTAGATCCTTCTGGTGTGTCATTTAGCAATTTTGAGTTTTTATTAACAAGATTAACTATGAAAAAATGTACAGTTTCCACTAAAGACCGACTTCTGATTTTTTTGATAAAAATGAAAAATGGCTTGACATTTTCAGCATTGAGTGTGTTATTTGGTGTACAAAAAAACCACAATCTCACGTATATTTCATTCGATCTTACAAAATCTAGCTTGTTCAACTGCTAATTTAATCTTTTGGCCGAATAGAGCCACCGTACAAGCAACAATGCCCAAGTGTTTCAGTCCAGATTACATCAATACAAGAGTTATTATTGACTGTACTAAATTCCGAATTGAAATCCGACAGTATTTAAATTATTATACAATATATAATAATTTTTATTTATCTTTAATTTACTATATTTACTAGAAATCAATAAAATACAAACTGATGTCATTATTTGGCATAATCCCGAAAAGTTGCGTATTGTAGGTGGCGCTCTGTCGTGCACATAGCGAATAGGGTTAGTATCTTTACCCAGTCACATAAAAGTACTTTTAAAATAAAAACTACTATTGATACACTAACTAAACTTACTCAGCACAAAGAAGGATAATGTACGTTTAAATCAAGATATTATTTTACACATTTGAACAATTAGTTCCTTCTATGATTTTTTAAAACTTTAAAACGCGGTATTTTGAAACACTGTTTTTGATGTTAATACCCTATAGTTTGTGAAGTGTAATATACAATATTGGTTTTAGTTTCCAAAAATATAGAATCATTCCTAATTTCCTAGGAAGACTTGAGGTATTGAGAGATTAAGGGATGTCTGTGTTTGGAGAATATTGGGCAAAGATCTGGCAACCAATTAACCCCGTTTTAAATATCGCTGATACGCCATTGAAGTACATGTTATTGAATTTAAATGTTTTCTATATCTAATTATCCTAATAAACTATAAAAAAGAATCGGTAGTAAATCCTTAATTTAATAAAGCTCAATAATCTAAGATAACCTCTTTCGTCGTCTGTTATAAAGGCGGTACGAAGTTCGCCGGGTCAGAAAGTAAACTATAAAATTACACGTTCTCGGCTTTAGTCATCGATAAGCTTACAAAAAGTACATTTATTGTTAATAAATTGAAAACCTAAATTTTAAATTGATTTTATGAAAATAATAATTACCTATCTCGGCATTTTTTAGGTCTTACCTAAAGTACTCACAAGTTTTGCTTTCGATTATCTGTTGTACAAAAACATGTTTTCAAAGTAACAGCTTTGACTTGACGTGTTCTAGTGCAATGGATTAAATATACAGTTGCGATTGTCAAATACCTACGTAATGTTTATTATGATTCAAATTACATAGGACTCCAAAAACAAGCTAAACCTGAATTATTTCTATTAAGATTTGGTCATCGAATATTCCTTAGTAAAATTTGTGTATAAAAATAATGTACATTTAGTAGACAAAATAAATATAACTATTCAATTCTATGTAAGAACCTCAAAATGGTGTACTTATTTTTAAACTTTATTATCTTCACTATCTAGTTATTTTCTTTTGAATTGTCTTTGTTAATTCTTTTCAATCGAAGTGATTTACTACGTGGTTCAAGACCCAGTTGAAGTAATCCTCCCGATGTTCTTTCTACACAGAGAGATTGAACTCTTTCTCTCACTGGTATCGGGTTGCTTAGAAACATAGTATTATCATGGGTGGAACTCGAATGCACCTCGCTATAACAAGACGCGTCGCACACTTTTGCTATTTCGCTTCTGAGTTCTGATGCTTCCATTGAAGTGACGTCATCAGTATCAGTATCTTCATCTTCAATATTTAACATTCTAAAATAAAACCATTTTTTTAAAATTTAAAGCGCATATCGGTAATGATAACACTTTTTACAGACATGAAAAAGAATTCGCCAGGCACAAAACGATATTTATAAAAAGTCGCCAATTACAAGTAAGCATTGCGTTGATATGCTTTGCATTGCATTAATATCCTTTTTACTGACCTGCCCTCGATTTTATTGATTCTTTGCTTAATCCTTTCTTGCTCCTCACCAACATCGGATAAAAGGTTCTGCAAACGATTGTTTAACATTTCAACGGTGGTTTCTAGTTTGTGTACAGTCTCTTCCAAGCTCTGTTGTGTAGATTGTGCATTTTCAAAGACGTTCTCGTCTAGTAAACCATCCTATAAAAATATAATATAATCCCGTATTATCAAATTACGAGTAATATCGCAAGTAATAAAAAAATACTACCTTTCTCAGTAGCTGACATCCACGTTCAGTAAGTGTAGCTCTTGCATCGGGGTAATCAGCCAAAGCTTCCCACAAATCACGCTTTGCTAAACAAAATAAATCTGAATATCCCAAAGCTCTCACATTGGCCGTGCGGCGATTGCCGGTACGATTACCAGCAATCTCTAGTACGCTGACTTCTCCGAACACAGAACCCGCACTCAGTGTCGCTAAAACAGTTTTGCCATCGTCAGCAACCACCTGGAGCCTGCCCCTTTTTACAATGTACATTTCTTTACCCACGTCACCCTTTCGGCATATATAATCACCAGGGCTAAAAACTTGCAATCTTAGTTTAAGCACTAATGCCTCTAAAAGTCCCGGCTCACAATCTTGAAATATCCTTACTTTTCTTAAAGTGTCTAAATGTACTCTGATTGCGATTTCAGCTTTTAATTTGTCTGGAAGTGAAGAAAGAACATTTTCTTCGTCCAGAGCTCCACTTTGAGCCCAAGTGTATGCAAACCATCTGATTACTCTGGCTTCTAATTCTCCACTTACTTTTCTAAATGCCATATATTGTTTTACACCGTCCATTTTATTTTGAAATTCTACTCTGGCCACGTTCATATTTGAGATCATAGAACCTATATTTCCCACAATAGTTGCAAATATGAGTACTCCAGCTAAGAAGTCAGCCACTACAAATAAATATTCAGCATCGATTTCCGGTTGCGGTGTTTCCCCGATAGTAGTTAAAGTCAAAGTGGACCAGTAAAAACTGTAAATGTATTGATGAGCCAGAGTTTCATTACGTGCACCGGTGAGATTATAAACCCAATTATCAGTACCGAATCCTATAGCGGAACTAATGGCAAAATATAAGCAGGCATTCCAGTGAATCAGGACAAGTATCGCCATAACGACCTGTAAAACAAAATAACACTGAAAAAACTAAATATAGTGTATAATTTCGATCATTAACAAAAAAAAGCTTTTATCTACACCCCATGATTTAAAACCTCTATTAAAGATTCTTAAACTGTTAGCTTATTGCCAACATGAAAACATTCAATGTCAAAATTTAAAAAATATATTATAACACCCAAACGATCATTATAATGTTGTACTAAATTTCATAATAACACAAATTCGCTTTTTATGTTTTACTGTTTATAATTAGGTATTAAAACACGAATGTGGGTTAATACCTAATTACTGTGACTATAACTCGGCTTCGCCTCGTGACCCCTCACGACAACGGGTAACTAGGGCCGAGGACCGAGTTGAGCCGACCCACTCAGGTTTGAAGGGTCTAGAGGCTCCACACGGAAAGGAGGTGCCATCCGCTTGGAATACCTCTAGAGGCAATCGCCAATTCTTGGCTTGAGGTACCCTAAGGATCTCGTCGTCCCCAAACCCGGTGACACTGTAAAGGACATCAGAGACCAACAGCATACACACTCAAAAAAAATCGCCTCGTGTGATAAACCCAAATTCATGTTTAAATACCCCTCAATATACAAAAGTTGCATAAAAAACAGATTATTACCTTGCATATCCTAAAAGCATTTGGATAACTTGTTGCGGTTTCAGTGCGATCGAACCACTCCCACATTCGGGGTAAGCGAAATAGTCGATTGAGTCGGACGATAACAGGGCACGGCAAACGTTTCTGTAACAAACAATATTGACACTAGAGTTTACAAAACAAAGCTTAGAACGCTGTCTTGAAACGATTCTATTTTAGGTTTATGACTTTTTGATCAGACGACTCTAACTGAGTTATACTAACAGAATCACATGAGCCAGGTTGCCACCAGTAATATGCTATATCAGTAGGTAGTAAAGAGATCAAGTCGTATCTCCACGAATCTGATTTTAAATAATGTCGTCTAAGCATTTTAGAATCTTTAACCATGAGCCCTTGTTCCAGGTAACCTGTAAAAGAAAAAATATAACTATTTAGATGATAAGCAAATGGTTTTGTATGAACGTTCACATTACCCTAAATCGCAGCCTTGTGCATACAAAGAAAATGATATTAAGGTGATCAATCTATCAAAAGTCTGATAGTGATCTAACGGTCACGGTGCAATATTTGTGCGGAAAAAGCAACAAGGCAAATGTTTATACACACGTTAGCTAAATTTGATGACGCAAGGCGCGGCTCTGCGTGTGGGTGTCAAATTGTTGATTTGTGTAGTTCGCTCGAAAGCAATAGTCGCAACTTACACTGTCGTGAGAGATATCGATTGCAATGACTCAAGGGGCATTAATGATCTAACATTGCTTGCGCTTTATGGTTTGTGTACAAGTGTCAATTCTCTTTTCCATTAGTACAGTGGCTAGAGCGGTGTTTTTTTTTTCAGAAAATAGATACTATGAGTTCATCTTATCATGAATGAAAATCATAAAATGTCATTTATCATATCTAAATAATTAACATCTATTTAAACAACGGATTTAACTCCCGGCGTACTTTTATATAATTCAATTTGATCGTTTGCATAGCAGTCATATAATTATAATATAATAACCTTTTTTTAAGTTAGGCATTCGCTTGGCATATTGAAGTAATAAATCGACGGACGAGTGCTCATTGTAAGTTTAATAAAATGAATAGTTAATTAGTCCTAGGCATTGAACAAGATTTTGTGAAAGTAAAAAAAAATCAATTCGTTAATCGCATTACAGAGTTTTGACAATTAGGATCCTTATATTCTAAATATCGATGTCGTATTATTCGCAAGTGGAACTCTTTGCCCGTGGAAGTAATTTTATCTTTGTATACGCAGAGATTTTCAAAAGGAGCATTCGTGCGGGCCGGCATAGTGATGATTGTATTTAAAAACTGCTCCACTAGCTACCTTCGACGCTGGATTCTACCACCGCTTGATACCAGGTGAAGTGGTTTCACTTGCCAACACGGATAGGCAAATGAAATCACTTCACCCAGGATCACACAACCCGGATACGGAATACCTTGATTTCAGTCTAGCGTAATCATCGCAAGAACAGAGCTATTGCTTATTAAAAAGACTATAATGCAGAATAAAATCAAAACAAACTGTTCATAATAGTCAATAATATTTATGAATTACTATAATAATTTTGAAATGGTATGCCTGAAATACCAGTATCACTGTATAAATATTTTCTACAAGACTATATCGTTGACTTGTCTTACTTTGAGTTGACTTCGAGTAACTTTAATTAAGCAAATCAAGCGATGTTGTGAAGAGCCCAAGTAGGACGAAACTGTTTCATCGATTTCAGTTAAGATGAAAGGCACAATTCAGAAAAATACTTCTAAAAACATATCACACTAGAAATAAGTTCATTAAAATGATAAGGCATAACAGCATTACTTTATTTATCGCCACTAGCCAAGAATTATAAGCACACAAAATAATCATACCTTCGTGAACATGTATGACAGTGTCAACAAGATAAATAGTATCACACAAATAGTCCAAGCCAAACCATATGGATGTTAAATTGTCAAGCTCCCAAAACACAGCTCGCCCGATGACGAAGACCACATTATATAATATGGCAAGAGACACCACGGCGAGCCACTGTTGGAAATAAAAAAAATATATAAATTGTATCTCCGTAAAATTTCTTAGAACAAGGATTAAATCACATTACTATTTATTTCATTACATCAGTGTATCCACGGACATAGCCTCGACTGTACAAAATTTTAAGTTGGGGAAAAACTTTCTTCGCATTTTATATTAGAAGTCAAAGCATTCTTAATAAAGTTTATTTACATTTAACTAAAGTATGTAGGTGCCATTTTGTCCAATAACTTTTTGCCATCTTGTTGGTAGGGACGTGATCCCATTGCTATAGAAATTTAAGGGCTTCTCATCAAAAAACCGCGACAAGTGGTTTTGGCAGACCTCACGTGATGTTAACTTGACACCGCCTAAAGAATTCTTAAGAGACTGAAAAAGGCGGAAATCGGAAGGTGCAAGTTCGGGACTATACTGCGGATGCAGTAACACCACCCAGTCAAACTCTCTTAATTTTTGCTGAGTGGCCAAAAATGTGTGAGGTCTAGCGTTATCATAATGAAAAACCTTCTGTTGATTAATTTTTAATTCTGAAGAGACCGAAATAGGTGGAAATCTAAAGTTGCAAAGTCAGGACTAGACGGCAGATGCATTAACACCTCCCAGTCTTAACTTTTGCTGAGTGGCTAAAATGTGTAAGGTAATTGTTATCATGATGAAAAACCACACCCCTTATGTCGATTAATTCCGGCCGCTTTCTCTCAACTTCTTGCTTTAATTTCTTCAGTTGTTCGTACTAGAGTTCAAAATCGATAATCCTGTCTGAGGGTAACAACTCATAATGAATAATACCCTTCCAATCCCACCATACACACAGCATCATCTTGTTGCGAGTTAACCCAGGTTTCGCCAGAGTCTGTGAAGCCTGATTGGCCTTTGACAACGACCTTTTTCGCACGTTCTTGTCGTACATGATGCACTATACATCACCAGTTAACTGCTTCTTCAAAAATGGTTCGGTTTCATTACGTCGTTCATGAGTACATGGTTCATTAGGTTTCTTCCAGTGCGCTCGTGAGGCATCAAAAATCGAGCTTTCTTCAAATGCGCCAAAACTTTTTTGTGGTTCATTCCCAGTTCTTCAGCTACGTCGTAACGTATGCCGATCTTGCTCTACTTTTTCAAAAATGGCATTCGATTATCCGTAACAGGGGGACCAAAGCGACGTGCATCTTTGACATCAACAATTTCCAATTGAAAACGCTTAAATCTAATTTGTGCTACTCTCACAGATACAGCACAAGGCTAATAAAAAAACGCGGTTTGCGTTGCATTTTTACCTTTTCTGTAGTAAAATTTTAAAATGCATCGAATTTCTTTACTACATTCACTCATCTTGACAGTAAGAAAAACAAATGAAAACCATACATTTTTCTAATTTGAATTTGGAATAATCCTCTTTAAAAAAAATTATTCTATAGATAACGCGTAAAATCCGTCTCGGTAAATATAACCTCAATTGAGGCGTGAGATTTTATTTTAAATTAGTTCGGTTAATACAAAATGAAGTACTCGCTGGCCAATGACTGGTAAAAATGTTATATTTTGTGGGTCATAAGGTTGATGTCACATTTTCCTTTTTTCACCTTAATATTTTTTTTCCAAGATATAATTTATAAAAGGACGTGCGAAATAACATTTTGTTATTTGTTATCTTATTCCTTTGTGAGATAGTTATTAGGTTCAACTTAAACTGTTTTAAAACATTTATCTTTGTATATTGGGAATCGAATGTAGCTGCATAAGTTTAAAAATACGTGGACAGTTTTTTCTTTATGTATGTAATCCGTTATCTATAGAATTATTGATCGAAATTTTGATGATACAAAAACCAGCCATATACAAAAGGTATAGGCAGAAAGATTTTATTACAAGTTCATTAATACTATAATGTGAAAAGACTTTTTCCCCAACATATTACGTGGCTGATGAAAAAGCTCATTATTATCGTATTTCTGAAAAATTACAAAAATACAGGAATTATGTATAACTTTGATAACAAAATGACTTCTACAAAAGCTGTCATTAATGATGGATAAGTTTGAAACCAAACCATGAAAGAGACTTGCTTCCATTAGATTTATGGATGGACACGGAAAAGTTCTGAAATATTGTAACCCACTCGCAATTTCACTAAGACGTAATAAGATTGCTTCTTCAAACGTTAAACGGTGAAAGCCTTCTGTGATGTCTTAATGTATATTTAATACATTACTCCTCTTAAATAAATACATCAACTAGAATACATCAGAAAAGAACGATTATAGGTACTTATTTTTAGGGGTACATAATTATGTAAAATTAATTACAATTTTACTACGCTAATTGAATATTATTGCCTGTAAAAAAATTAGTACTTCCATGGTACCATGGTTAGTGTGGTCGGTTTGAATTTGTGGTAATTAAGCAACTTTTACAATGGCCTGACATTATATGGGAGACCTTTAGAAACTTTATTATATTAATCTCCTTCATACCTTGGAAGGAACTATAAGATTTGTCCCCGTTGGTCCTGCAGTCGCCAGCACCCATTAAACAACATAGAACCCGTAGTCATGGCCCAGTTTTCTTATTCCGTCTATAGCCTAGCTGTGGAGATTTAAATGACCTGATAGTGTAGAAAACTGCGTTTTACAGAAAAAAAAGAAGAAAGTCATAGTCCTATCTTTGATTTATTTTAATTCATACTAGTGATGACGCATTAACAAAAGTTGGATCCATCAAACATAATTTTATCATATTTTGGTAGATTTTGAGGCAAACAATATTGGAATGGAATTATTAAGTTGTCAATAGTCCATCTTTTTTTTATTTAACACATACTGGTGAAGTCGCAGTAACAACATCTGTTGTCATCAAATATATAATTTTATCATATTTCGGTAGATTTGGAGGCAACCAATATTCGCCGTGCGGCACGTTTCCTAGACTCGTGGCGAGTCTACGTACCGCACAGCGAACTATTAAGTTGTCAAAATCTCCTAAAATCTCAGTCATAAGTTATTTATTAAGGTGTTTATTATCTCGGTTTCTGTTGCTCAACAAATGTTAACACTGTCTATGAAAATTTTAGATCATACAATAAATAACAAATATTGTACTAAACAATTTTCCATGCGTTCAATTGTTTCAAAAATATTGCGCGAAGAGTACGCAAGTGCAAAGCTCTCCCTTATACGAGAGTGGTCTTAAGTTTCCGACCTCAACGTGAAGAGTGCAGCTTTCGTAAATAATAATAATAATATTTCCAACAATCACACCAATTAGCCTAGCCCCAAAGTAAGCACTGTTAGGCTTGTGTTATGGGATACTAGGGTAAGTAACGGATAGAATACATATAGTGTACATATATAAGTATATTTATATAGAAATTCATATTAAACATCCATGACTGGAGAACAAATGCTCGTATTCATCACACAAACATCTGCCCCCACCGGGATTCGAACCCGGGACCTCTCGAGTCGGCGACAGTCATGAAACACGGCGTGCAAACCACTCGGCCACAGAGGTCGTCAAATAAAAGCTAGTGAATTTCGTTGTTCATCTGTTGACAGTTACTCACCAAAGTTTCAGCCATTTGGGATGCGCAGTTGTTATGTAACGTTTGAGTGATTTGATTTGAGTTTTTTTGTAAAAATGGACAAAATCGAATATCGAGCTGTCATTAAATTTTTCAATCAAAGATGAGTTGGATTCTGTTTATAGGGTCACCATCATATACCATAGTGAAATTTTGAGCAGCTGAATTTAAACGTGGCCGTAAGAGCTTGGGAGACGATGAACGTCCGGGACGTCCAAAAACTGCAACTACCGACGAAAACATCGCCAAAGTACACCGGTGCTAGACGACCGCCGAATAAAAGTGAGAGAGATAGCAGAGATTATGAACATGTCAAAAGAACGTGTTTGACACATTTTTAATCAAGATTTAGGCATGAGAAAGCTGTACGCGCGTTGGGTGCCACATTTGCTCACGTTAGACCAAAAACGTGTTCGAATTAACATGAACATTTCCAATGTTTTGTTGGCGAAGTTTAGGCTTGGCGTCGATTAATTGCTGTAGATGAAACTTGGATATACCATTATATGATCGAATCAAAAATACAGTCCAAAAAGTGGACAGCAAAGGGGGGATGAACCCCAAAAGAAGCAAAAGTTGTTTTTTCGGCTGGGAAAGTGATAATGACAGTTTTTTGAGATATTCATGGAGTAATTTTAATCGATTATCTTCAAAAAGGAAAAGTCATTACAAGAGCATACTACGCATTATTATTTAACTAGCTGAAGGCAAAACTTGCGGAAAAACGGCTACATTTGCAAAAAAAGAAAATCCAGTTTCACCAAGACAACGCACCGTCTCACACCTTAGCGGTTGCCATAGCGAAAATCTAAGAAGCACGGTTTGAACTTCTTAACCATCCGCCTTATCAGATCTAGCCCCAAGTAATCTAGTCTAAAAATTGCGCTCGGCGGACGGAGATTTTCGTCAAATGAAGTGGCAAACACCTTTGTGAACAATTATTTTGCAGATAAAATGCCGAGTTAGTTAGTTATAGTTTGTTGTTTGGTCGGGTAACAGAGATGGCTAATCTTCCACCAACAAGTGCAAGACCCTATCAGCATATGAACCGAGACAATGATGACAATATTATGTACTATAAGCCAGAAAAGTTACTTAATATAGTTCCCAGTAATGCAGTCATTGTAAATTTACAGTAAAATACTGCAAAGATTCCTGAAATCATTTAAAACTTTGAAAATATTCCCAGTTTTTTTAATATTGCTGAGAACGGCACCATCACTAAGTGTGACACACTTTCTATTATATTTATTATGATATGATTGGGTGTCGTAAAACTTTTAGCGATTGTTCTTAATCTACATTAAAGGCAGGCCAAATATTCTTTTCACGTTCTAATGTAATCCAGGGATTTTTCCGCATCGTGATTCTTCTAGCTTCGAGTTTAAATAACTTTTTAACTTTAGGAACAGAACATGAAATAACACTGACTGCGGTGTTTGTCTCATAAATATTCGTAAAGTTGTTACTTTATGAGGAACGCAAAAAAAAACTAAAATCATATTTATGAATTATTACGTGAAAACTATAGAGGGAGGGGAGGGGGTTTTGGCATATATGCCAACTACGTAGTATACATATATAAATAGGTTAAAAGGTTAGTATGGGTATAAGACTCAAAAAAAAAATGCTGCGGGGGTGGCCGTGTTTTGTTATGAAAATGTGTAATCTTGTCACCCGAATGCATTAGAAAAATATACAAACATTCCGCCCTATTCAAAAATTAAACTTCAATAAATAAATCTCTATCTTTGCCGATTAGCAACGCAGTGGTTAAACGCGTGTTCAGTTTCATGAACGCTATCAAAACAAAACTAAGAGAAAAAACTATTTGCCGATGCTGTAACATTAGAAAGATTCGCATACATTAAAGGTATGAATTTTAATTGGTAAGTAAATAATTACCTTTCTCAAGAGTCGTTATACAGTAAAACAATTTTCTAACATGAGTCATCTTAATACAATTTTATTGGTTATTTATTACTTTGATATAATAGAAATTCTTCCAGATCCATAAACCGTATATGTATGACGACAAAAAAAGAAACAGACCAGAATTACGAAAAAGACGTCGAAGTTGAATCATACTTTACTCGACAGTGTTCAACTTTAGCATCAGATGACGATTAATGATTTACCATATCTAATGTCCCTCTTTTTGCTACCCAGATGACAAAGTCCAATATTTCATGACAACCGGAATAAGGTTGTTATTTGAGAGATTCATATGAAACTAATTATCGCGAAAGCAAGTCCTCCTCGTATGGTGGATCAAAGTGATATTTTACTTTAGCCCATTCAATGCCAGCGTCAATTTCTTAAGTATGAATAATGCTAATGTGTAATCAGTGATAATAATAAGCTTTTGTAGTTAGATACTTTACTGGATTGATCCGAAGTAAAATTTTAGAATCTTGCTAAATATAGAAAAAAAAAATACTCACATGGTAGTGCGCTGGTAGAGTGGGATCGAAAGCGAGCTTTAAACCACAAAGAATTTTAGATCGTTTCGTTTGGTACAAAGGCTCTTCGGGATCCGTGAATGTCTGTGCGGCGAATTTGTCAAGGAACCAATCTGGAGGCTTGGCTCGTCCCTCGCCGCTAATACGACACCTTACGTTTCTAGCCAACCTTGAAAACTGTGTATGAACCCAACTGCTCCCTGTGTTGACTTCATTTACCGCCTGGAAATGAGGAGATTATTATTACTTACTTAAACGAAATTTCAAGGTACGTAAACAATAGAGAATGTTTAATCAAAAATGATGAACAGCAGCATCAATCAATCAATCGCATTATATTATAACATTGTCCGGAAAGTTCTAAGCTTAATCAATTTTACAGGAAATATAGTGTTACCTATACTACTACAGCTTGTAGCCTCCTGTTTAGTATATCAGTATCATATACATATACCTAGTGTTGCTTCAAATATTGTTACAAGGATTAATCTGTTTTTTTCTACTACATAAATCATTTATTGTTATGTGTTAGTTTATCCTTCAAACTTTGAGACCAGTAATCAATAGAAACACGCATTCTCTCCATGGGAAATTTTTTCACTGCCAATCTTATGGACTGTTGTGAGGATCCAATAATCATGGCGTTTAGAACATTCCATACTCTCTAAAACTGATCATAAATCGTTATCCAGCAGATTAAGATCGGGACTAAATGATGGACCGCGTTCGTAAGTGCAAGTAAGAAAGATAGTGACGGTCTGAAAGACAGTGTTTAAATCAACCTTTAGTTACTGACCCTAATTTTTGGTACATAATTGTAGAGGTGAGGTCTCACGGTGACACCCAATTTGAAGTGCCGTTATTAATAGAATTTATTTCAAGTGAGTTACAATTACGAGTTTTGAGTTGTCCAATCCTAAATATACAAAAAAAAAACTTATCGAACAATGGAATGAAATCAAAAAAACAGCAAAAATATGGATATAAAACTTTTAATAGCAAAACTGCAAAAATTGCACGTATTTGGGAACATATTTTTTTGTTATTAGGAGAAAGTATGTAATAGCTAATTTAAATGTTTAAACATAAGTAACATTTCTTATGAAATCAACAAAAACAAACTAACGAACAGGTATTAAAAATATTAATTAAAAAAATATCCAAGACAATTCGAATGCGCCTTAAAAATCTGACAGACTTTTATGGCGCATTCAAGATATATGTATATTCTACACTTTTATTATTTTGCACTGATAGTTAAGTTTGAATGGACAGATGTTACATAAATTTCTATTTTAATTGTTTATGTTTCCTGCATGGTCTTCTATCTCTTTGGGTATCTATCACATCTTCACCAGGAATTCGTTTTATTGTAAGCATTAACTCCCGTATTGTAGACACGACATCAATAAAGTAAACATAAACACCGACCACAAATTACTTAGCTGGTTTGCTACATTATCTTTGCTTCTGAGGTATTTTGGACTATATTGTGACTTAAAGATCTACAATATCGTGGTACAGGCAGACAGGAATGTCAAATAGAAACCTATTAATTAGTTCTTTTCCGTCCTTCCCCATTCTATTGATAATGTTCAAGAATACTTTCAACACCTTTTTTCTATCTTCACGCCGTGTCCCGCCCGGTGGGGTAGGTAGAGACAAAGTTTTACATTAAACTATTACTTACTTTTATTTAATCGGATCTTAATATTTTAGCTATAAGTCGCATCTTATAGAATAAATAATATCATTTATCAGTCCTTCCGTTCAAGCCATATAACCACAATAGTGGAGAATTACTCATCCAGCACTGATACAAATCAATGGCTGATAATACCCTACCTGTGTCACAAAGACCTAATTTTCAAAAAACAAACAGATTAAATTGAGTTAACAAAAATTAAATTAAATAGATATTTACTTAAAATACAAAATAGGTGGTTTTCCCCTTTCAACGATAGCATTATTAATATTGATTTCAAGACGCACTGATTTTTTTAGTTAATTAAATAAAAAACCGAGTCATCTCTTTAATATTCCGTTTTTGCCGATTAAGGTACAGATCCCTAAAAACGTGTGGTGCCTAGTGGACCGAAGCTATTTGGTTATTGGGACTAATTAAATGCGATCCTCATAAATTAAAGATAAATAAATATCATACTGCCAATTCAAAAAGGTCTCAGAATCATGAAGCTTGTGAACACGGCCAATAGATAAAAAGAAAATAAAGATGAAACTTCTTTTGAATTATTCTGTTTACCGAAACGAAAAAGGAAACTTAAAACCAATCGTTTATTAGCAAAATATTTTAATAACAAGGGTACTTCTGAATTCCTTGGCTGAAACTGCTTTTATTACATCCTTTAAAATTTTATGGTTCTGTATGGCTAAGAATTTAATAAGGTAGGTAGGTAGTGAAAACAGTTTTTATCTTTAATTTTTATGAGATAGAAAACGGAATGTACTGTTTCCATATTTTAACTTTATTTTAACTACAATACTATATTTTTAGGGCTGCGTTAAGTGGGTGCACGGAGCGGGCGTTTGCTCAATCAATTATTTATTGAAATGCTTTCTTAATTCGGGCTTTCTTGGTACCACTACTTGAGCTTGACCACTCTTCTTCTATTTTAATTTAAGAGAAATTTTAAAAATGATGCACTTGTATCTTCTTCCATTCTAATTGATATGTGTCTTCGAAAGGTTTTCAATACTAATAGAGAGGAATCAGATTTCTTAGTTACAAGGAAAAAGCTTGTTTGAAATATAGTTATAGGTCTATACACTTCTGGTAGCTCCTTTCATTTTTTGTTTAGCCATTCTACAGTCTTTGTATGGACACCTTCAGGAATAATTAATCCAGGAACCCGCATTATGGTAAAATGAAGCAGAATTGAAATTGAATTAAAATCTAGCTTTAGAGCTTGTTATAATTATTGTACCGTTACAAAGTAAATTATTAATTAAGTCTCTCAAGATAAGATTTTGATCCATAGCTAGGGTTATGTTTTGTCTATTGAACATTATGAAAGAGTGATTATCTGACATAGACTTTATAAACCTCCCATGACAGAAATTGTAAAACATAGGTATAAACAATTTGTCTCTAGAATTTGAGTAAACTTTTTGGTACAACGTTGATTTCAAATACTAATTATATTTCCTTTCTTTGACACAGGTAAATATTTTAATAAATGAGGAACATTGGGCTCCAATTTCTTATTCAATAAGTTTAATCTATCTTTCCAATAGTGTTTATGTCGTATAGAATTGCCTTAATAAGGCACATCAAATAAATTCTGGGGTCTGATATTTTTACAGGATTATCCAACTTCGCCAAATTACTAACAACAGGAACCGTGCACAGCATTTGGCCTGATTTATTTCCTTTAATATCAGAACCATCTACATACCCTGATTCCTATCACAATTTCAACACTTCAAATAATTCTTCAGTCCAATTAATTCATAATATTTGCTAGCAAAATGCCTCCTGTATTTCAGTCGCATTTGTCTCTAAGATTTCCCCTTCATTGTTTCAAATCTTGAGGTAAGAAAAAGAGCAATATTTATGATTATGAAGATCAATATTTGCTGCTAAATGCTTCTTCTTTAAATGTTGTTATGTTAACGCTTATGTTTAAAAGTGCATCAGTATTATGTATGAAGAACCCTTTAGAGGGGTTACTCTCAAAATGCACTTCTTCTTCTCTGTTTATACGTCTGAATTCTACGTATTCCATTGTAGTATGAACAGTCTCAAAGACTTTTTTGAGTTTAGGATAAAATCGAATTCCATCCCTTTCAACACGTGGAATTATTTCATATCTTAACATACTCTTGACGAACCTCGTATATTTATTTTCGTCTGTGGTAGCTATAATTTTGAAGAAAGGGCCATCATTAATGAGTATTGATTTCGCCAAATCTCTGATATTCTGGTAAGTAATTTCACTTTTTTGACAATGATAGAGTAGGTTCATACGTTTACACATTCATACGTGGATAACTGTTAAATTTTGTCCTTTGAGAACAGACTTTTCTTCCAAAACATGATCTACTCTGTACTATGGTTGCAATAGGACATGAGATAAGTAAATGAAACTGGGGTTTGAACCAGGTAATATTGGGAGATATCGCATTCTACCGTCCATTTGAGACCGTATATAATTTAATAAATTAGGGAGTTTTCGAACATCTAAGTTGCTTTCATTTATTATGTTTCATTCGTATTTAAAAATCAGAAACAGATATGTAGTTATTTTAAAAAGTCATAGGAAATCGGACAAACATTATGTCAGGAGAGGACAAGATAAAGCATTTAATCAGTAGGTGAAATTGGGCATGCGGAAAGATAATAAAAGCAGGTGATGAAATGTTAAAAATATTGTGGGAAAGCACCCTTTCATCGTAGTGCGGGCGATGCGAAGCGGGCGTCTGGTCCGCGTGTTTGTTTCATGTTATTTAATAGAGCAGCGCAGCATTTTCTATGAAATAGCGTAAAAACTGCACGCTGAGCAGACGTCCGCTCCGTGCTCCCGCTTAACACAGCGCGGTCTCTTAAATATTTGTATTTCCCACAGGTTTTTCACACTATTCTATAATCAATTTCTGTTATACATAAACATTGGCCACGAACAAGGTTCTCTTAAATCGAATCTTCAGATGTATAAATATTATTTTCGTCAATCTCTGTGGTTTTTGTTCTGCTTGTCATACTTGCATTGTTAAGTCTTGTACAGCTTATATTTTCCTAATAATATTATTTATCTCACCATCTCACCAAAAGTATATATTAATTTATTGAAAGGTTTTGTGCCTAGGAAAAGATACAGAATAAAAAAGGAATTCCACGATTTCAATTAATACGAGTAATAATTCGTTTGATAAACTGAAAGGGGCTTCTAATTATAGAGATTTTTCAGGTAAAGAATTTATTAATTTTCGACAACCTATGGCGCAGTATGTCTGGTGAGATTGTTGTGGGAGAGACCATTGAACAGAAATCCCGTAGAGAAGAATAGCTCGCTTTAGGCTATATCTGACAGTAAATAAAACATGTTATGCAAATCATACAAGCGAAAACTGCGAAAGAGGCATGGGAGACTCTGCCAAGGGCATATGACGGCAGAGGGTAATACTGGAGGTTTAAGCTACTACGTAACTTGTTTTCTATCAATTTGGTTGATTTTGAGAATAATGTGAACGAGATTTTATGT